ATAAATCATTGATTATAACTTTATATCTACCTTTCTAAATTACATTTACAAATAGAAAAAAGACTATACCAATTAAAGCAAATCCAGAATCGAAAGATAACAAAGATTTTTAAAAGATCTCAACTATATAAAGATAAAAAAAAACTATTTCATAAATCCTTGAAAATCTAAACTATCAGATGAATTGATAGGTGGAATACAAGACGTACACAAGAACTAATAAAAATACGAGTAAAAGAAAAGAAGTCAATGGAAAAGAAGATGGGAAATATGGAGAGGAAAAAGAAAAAAACTCGAATATGAGGAAAAATAAATCAAAGAAGAAAAAATGGAATGTAAAGAGAAAAAAAGACAAAGAAGAGATAAATAAAAACTAGAATAATATGATGTCTCAGAAGACGAAGATGATAAAGATAGGGAGTGAGGGGAATGAGGAAGAAGAAAAAACGTAAAAAGAATGTAAAGAAAATTAGAAAGAAAAAGAAGAATAGTAAGTTGGAGGATATAAGACACAAGAAAGGATTGAAGAACGAAAATTCGAAAAAGAAGAAGCGGGAAAAAAAATGATGACAACGAATAAATAAATGGAAGAAAAAAAAAGATGGATCAATGAAAAGAATAAGAGGGAGAAGAAAACAACCATTACAAAATTTAACTATTTTTTGTACTTTCACAATTTATAAGTTCTTATCAAATTAACAAAATATTAAGCTATTACTTCCATGGAAAATAAACACATTACAAAAATATGAAAAGTAATTAAAAAGAAAATGTGTTAATCTAATATTAATTGAATTCATGAATTAACAAAATCTAACTATCGAATGAATTGATAAGTGAAATACAAAACGTAGACAAGGACGAAAAACAAGAGTAAGAGAAAAGAAGACGATGGAAAACAAGATGGGAAACTTTGAGAGGAAGAAGAAAACTTTAACACGAGGAAAAAGAAAAAATGGAAATTGAAGAAAAAAAATAGATAAAGAAGAGATAAATAAAAACTATAATAAGATGATGTCAGAGAAGACGAAGATGATAAAGATAGAGAGAGAGAGGGAGAATGAGGGAAAAGAAAAATCGGAAATAGAATGTAAAGAAAATTAGAAAGAAAAAGAAGAATAGTGAGTTGGAGGATATAAAGACACAAGAACCGATTGAAGAACAAAAATTGGAAGATGAAGAAGAAGCAGAAAAAAAAAAGATGATGACAATGAATAAAAAATGGAAGAAAAAAGAAAGAAGATGGATCACTAGAGAAGAATAAAAGGAAAGAAAACAACCATTAAAAAAAGCTTTTATAAATAAAATAAAAATAAAAGGAAATCTAAAACTAATTTATAATATGAGGTTGAGTGTGAAGTTGAGGGGGAGTTATAATGTGGATTTGGGTTTAGGGTGTAGGTTCTTTAATTAGGGGGAGGAGGGGTTTATAATGTGGAGTTTGGGTTTAGGGTTTATATTGATGGGTGTAGGGTTTAGTTTTTGGTGCATTTTAAAAATTTGAATTATTATAGAAATCAGAATTAAAATCATTGATTATAAATTTATATCTTTCTAAATTACATTACAAATAGAAAAAAACTATAACAATTAAAGCAAACCAGAATCAAAGATAACAAAGATTTTTAAAAGATCTCAACTATATAAAGATTAAAAAAAAAACTATTTCATTAATCCTTGAAAATCTAAACTATCAGAAGAATTGATAGGTGGAATACAAGATGTAGACAAGAACAAATAAAAATATGAGTAAAAGAAAAGAAGTCAGTAGAAAAGAAAATGGGAAATATGGAGAGGAAAAATAAAAAACTCGAATATGAGGAAAAATAAATCAAAGAAGAAAAAACGGAACGTAAAGAGAAAAAAAGACAAATAAGAAATAAATAAAAACTAAAATAATATGATGTCTAAAAGACGAATATGATAAAGATAGAGAGTGAGGGGAATGAGGAAGAAGAAAAAAACCGTAAAAAAATTTAAAGAAAATTAGAAAGAAAAAAAGAATAGTAAGTTGGAGGATATGAAGACACAAGAAAGGATTGAAGAACAAAAATACGAAAAATAAGAAGCGAAAAAAAAACGTAAAAATAATGTAAAAAAAATTAGAAAGAAAAAAAAAATAGTAAGTTGGAGGATATGAAGACACAAGAAAGGATTGAAGAACGAAAATTCGAAAAAGAAGAAGCGGAAAAAAAAAAGATGATGACAACGAATAAATAAATGCAAGAAAAAGGAAAAGATGGGATCAGTGAAGAAGAATAAGAGGGAGAAGAAAACAACCATTACAAAGTTTAACTAATTTTTGGTGCTTTCACAATTTATAAGTTCTTATCAAATTAACAAAATGTTAAGCTATTACTTCCATGGAAAATAAACACATTACAAAAATATAAAAAGTAATTAAAAAGAAAATGTGTTAATCTAATATTAATTGAATTCATGAATTAATAAAATCTAAACTATCGAATGAATTGATAAGTGAAATACAAAACGTAGACAAGAACAAAAAAACAAGAGTAAGAGAAAAGAAGATGATGGAAAAACATGATGGGAAACTTTGAGAGGAAGAAGAAAACTTTAACACGAGGAAAAAGAAAAAATGGAATGTGAAGAAAAAAAGACAAAAAAAGAGATAATTAAAAACTATAATAAGATGATGTCAGAGAAGACGAAGATGACAAAGATAGAGAGGGAGAGGGGGGATGAGGGAAAAGAAAAATCGGAAATAGAATGTAAAGAAAATTAGAAAGAAAAAGAAGACTAGTGAGTTGAAGGATATAAAGACACAAGAACCAATTGAAGAACAAAAATTGGAAGATGAAGAAAAAAAAAGAAGAAGATGGGATCACTGGAGAAGATTAATGAAACAACCAACATTTTTTTTTTTAATAAATATTAATCAATTCTAGCGAAGGTCTTAAAAATAAATTAAATAAATAAAATATCAATAACAAATAAATCAGCTCAGCGGAAGCAAATAATAATTAAACAAGTCTAGCAAAATAATGCAAAACAATAAAACAGTAAACATCCTATCATCCCCCTCTTCAGCCTTGATTCCGCGATCACACAAATCTTTTACCTGCAACACATTGGAATGGAGTTGCGTAAGTATTTAATAAATACTTAGTGAGGCAATCACTCTGCCTACGAGCCATTTACGCAATTTACTAGATATTTAATAATATTTATAAACTCCAATAATTATTAAATACCATTTTCCAATTATTAAATAATTTTTAATAATTAAAACTCAATTTCTCAATTATTAAATAATTCTCATAATTAAATAATAATTTTCCATATTTTAAAATAATTAAAATAATTATTTTAAACCAATTAATTAAATAAATATTATTTAATTAATTAAATCCGAATTAAATCTATTTAATTCCATTAAACCAATTAAATTCAATTAAACCAATATAAACCAATTAAATTCAATTGAACCAAGATAAACCAGAATCAAATCAATTAAATTCAATTAAACCAATATAAACAATTAAATTCCCAGATTAAACCAACAAACACACAATTCATCACATAAACAACCAAAATATCATGAAATAACAATTAAACACATAAACTCATCAAGAACAACCACAAACCAAATCTAATCTAGCAAATCACGGACCCACAGTCATGCACTCACCTTGACAATGATTGAAACTGAAGGAAAGACAATGAACAGTGCGAAATCCCGAGATGAACAGTACCCGATGAACAGTACCGATGAACAGTAACCCGATGAACAGTCCGATGAACAGTACCCGATGAACAGTAAAACTCGAAAATCTCTCCAAAAACTCCACTTTTCTCCTCTGCAGCCTCTGAACTCGAAAATTCTCCAAAGAGAAGACGGCTGCACTCTTTAAACTTGATTTTAGGGCTTTCTCCACTAAACCGGCCCAAACCAAATCACTTAAATTGAACCGACAAAATTCCCAATTTTTGGTTTATGGATGTTACAACTCTCCCCCACTAAACTGGATTCGACCTCGAATCCCAACACAAACGTCACAAAGACCACAAACCCGACCTCGCAAGGCCACAACACCGGAGATCCTCACTTGATCCCCGAGACTCTCATCTAATCTTATGTTATACGCCGTCTCTAGACATCTTTACTCTTAACTCATCACCTCAAACCACTTGTATTGGGGCCACTACACCCAAACAAGTCTGCACCTACCCAAACTGGGGCCACTACACCCAGGTCACGACTTATAATGAGGCCACTACACTCAGCTAAGTCACTCATACTGAGGCCACTACACTCAGATGAGTCTGCTGATAAACCAGAAAATAGGTCCTTTTCTCTACTGCAAATTATCAGTGATGAAGATTGTAATATAAAGGATTCGAAATCCAGAGGACCAGCGTTACACTGTGAAACTACGAGATTTAAAACAGAGCTAAGACAAAGATGATTGGTTTTAGTAGCAGGTAACGAATGTAAACGATGATGTAATTCAATTAAACAGGGACTAGACCAAGGCAATTCGCAGAGATTCACAGTTAACGACCGAACAACTATTCAGGGCACAGATGATGAACAGGTCTCGAACTCAAACATGAAAATATGTCAATTCACTTTCGCGATAATGATAACTTTATCTAACAACCTAGATGTCTAAACTGTCGTTTGAATCTAGCAGTTGATGACAAGCAATAAACTCAGGTTCGATAAGTTCACGAATCGCCTCAGCATCAACTTTCGCAGGCTAAGGACGATTCGCTCACCACAGTTCGTTCTAACAACCTATAACACTTTTGATGAACAGGTAATCTGAGATCAGAGATCGAATGATCAGATCGATCTAAGCAGTAATGCAACAATGGCGAAGACAGTATTAAAGCCCTATCTGTATTCAGTCAAGTTAACACATGAATCCCTTTGAAAAGCCTAGATCTAGCAAGATGACTACTCAGACATGGTGAAACAGCAAACAATACTGAATAATGTCATTGAATCAAATAAGAAAATAGCAAACAAGGGTTCAGAAATCTTCTCCAAACTGTGAAAACAGAGGTTTGATCTCTTCTCCCTCGGAAACAATGAACAACAGTGTAAAACTCTGAAAAACGGCGTAGCCTAAACAATGGCTAAAGATAGGTCTAAATAGCTCCGGGGTCGACTTCGGTTCAATCCGGTTCGCTGTGGTTCGATCAAGTCGGTTTGCACCAAGTAGATCGAACGGCTGTGATATCATCTGACCGGGATTGATCGGACGGCTGAGATAGAACGGGATCGATCGAGCTGGCTTGCTCTGCATGGGATCGATCGAGCTTGCTTCTGCAATGGGATCGATCGAGTGGTCGTCGACAGGGGTTCGATCGAGCTGCCTCTCAATGCATGCATCGATCGACCCTGTACGTGTGATGGGATCGATCGAGCTTGGTCTCGTGTACAGGTTCGATCGACCTTGTGCGGAGTCGATCGAGCTCCTTCTGCTCCGTTTTGCCTGCTTTCTCCTGTTGGTCCATGTGACCAAAGCTCTCCCTGGAACGTCTTTAGACCTGAAAAGACTCGATAAAGACTAGAAAGACTCGATAAAACTCGTGAAAACAAGTGTTAGAATGCGTCAAATACGCAAGATATCATCTGCTAGAGAACCACTGTCTCCAAAACCGTAATGAGTTATTCAGGATCGCAATCCTTAGAGTAAAAATTCCAAGACATCTATAACAATAGAATTAGAACCGTCTCACGACCACTGGTCAAACACTTGTAACATCCGAATACCACTTAAACAACACAAGGCAAAATGAGGAAAAACTGCATCTCATTAAAACTCAAAAATGTATATCGTTACAACCAAAACGAAAATACAATAACACCAAAGCCAAAACAACAACTGAGGCTACAAAGATGAAATAAGCTCACTCCTCGACCTGCTTGTCGAACCACTTCCTGAACTTCAACTTCATCTTTGCCTCTGGCTCCCAAGTCTCCTCTGTAGAACCACTGCAATCCCACAAAATCCTCAGTAAGGGAATCCTCTTGTTCCTCAGAACCTTTTCCCTCCTCTCTAAAATCCTCACAGGCACTGCCGGCACTGTCAAATCTGGCTGAAGATCCTCTGGAATCCTAGCCACCAACTCCTCTGTAGGGTGAAGACACTTCCTCAGCATCGACACATGAAAAACCTTGTGAAAGGCTTTCATAATCTCAGGCAACTCCAGCCTGTACGCCAATGGCCCAACTCGTTCCACTACTGGAAACGGCCCCATAAAACGCGGACTCAGCTTGTTCTCTGCTATGGATCTGTTAGGACCCCTCAACATAGCCATCTTGAGATAAACTCTATCCCCACCTGAAACTCAAGCTCTCGTCTGCGTCTATCTGCATAACTCTTCTGCCTGTCCTGAGCCTCCTTCATGTTCAGCCTCACCACACGGACCTTCTCTGTAGTCTCCTGAACATAAGTAGCTCCATACATGCTGCGCTCCCCCACTTGGGTCCAGCATAGGGGTGTCCTACATGGCCTCCCATACAAAGCCTCAAATGGAGCCATGCCAATACTCGCCTGAAAGCTGTTGTTGTATGCAAACTCAACTAAGTGATATACCTCTATTTTACCTACTTTTTATGCTATTTTACTATGGTTTTCTAATGGTTTTCTAGTGGATTCTTGTGTTAAAAGGTAGTTTTTATGGATTTATAGTGCAAAGAGTCATTTTAGGTAAAAAGGTGCATTATGGAGCAAAACAGGAGATTTGGACTCTAAACCAGTTCAATGCCCCTGCATCAACTTTGGATGGAGCTAGAAAAAGATCTACTCAATGGATTTCATCAAGACCAGTTCCCTGCGTGCTCTGATTGAGTTAACTTTCCAACGCAACTGGAATGGCTTCATTTGGATGAGTAGAAAAGGAGTTATAGCCAAAAGAGTGAAGGCTGCTCCAGACGGCTATATCGAGAATCAGCGTCCGAACGCGCAGACCGGCTGGCCGAGGAACGAATGTTCCGCGCTCGGCCAAAACCGTATTCGTCCGACTGATGTCTCGGCCAAAGTCCAATGCCACTCGGCCGATCACACAGCACGACCCGGGAAACATTGCCCGCGGTCGGCCAAGCTTCAACGCTTCACGCCACGCCGCGCACGACCAACGCGCGCGAGCCGGGAAACAAAGCCTCGCGGCCGCGCAACCCGTTCCGCGTACCACGGCCGATGCATCCGTCCGAGCCGGGAAAGAACGTCCCACGTCCGGCCGAGAAACCATCGGCCAAATCTTCGTCCGCTCGACCAAGCCGGCCGACCATGAAACATCCGGCCACGACCGTTCCGACTCGGCCAAAGACCCGACTGTCCGGCCGACCGTCCCGACGACCGTCCGAACGCCGCGGTCGACCCGAAGCCGTTTTTGAAGCCCAATCCGCACAATTCAAGCCCAAAGCCGGCGCCGACCTAGCTAGATTAGGTTTAGCCGCTTCTTATACTTAGAGCATTATAAATACTTCTTTTTAGCCTTGTAACTCAAGAAGGAGAGAGACCACAATCTATTTTACATCTTAATAAAGTTTTGCTTGCTTTTACTTTGTTCTTGCTTGTTACTCTTTCTAGAGAGGATTCGAATCTCTGTTCTTATGAATATGAATTCGATTTCCTTCTCTATGTCTGAGTAGTTTACTTGTTAAGTGATAGGAAGTCAAAGGATAGCATTCATGAATGCTTGATGATTGATCACAATTAGGGTTTTACTTATAATCTCCATCTTTGCTTATACTTAATGCTTGTTGTTAATCTGGCCAATTAGCATATGCCTTTAGGTTGATTTGAGCCTCGACAGTGCTGTATCATTCGCCTGAACTAGTATTTGGTGGGCAATCTCTTTTAGACTGCGACAGTTGATCTACTTGTAGGTTGTGAACAATTGATCTTGATCGAACTAATGCTTGATTTAATCACCTAGGGACATACCAAAAGTTTAGCGACTAGGTAGATTAACAAAGGGGTCGGAGCCTCGACAGTGGAATGATCATACCATAGTGGTTTAAGTCTTTCTCATTGCTTCTTTGTTTAGCTTGTGAAATGGTAGCTAGAGAAAAGAAAATAGAGCAAGCAAATAGTTCCGGTTCTTACTCTTGTCTTTTTATTTTTGATGGTGAGGTTAGTGTCTAATGGATGATCAACCGACGGAGGAGGCTCCTTTACACTCTCTGAAGAAGAATTCTGGTGACATTGGATGGGATTATGGATGTATGTGTGATCACACAAATCCAGACAGCTCCGATGTATGCTATGTGGGAAAGAGATGACTGGTGGTATATTCCGAATGAAGGAGCACATAGCTCATGTGAAGGGGAACGTTGCTCCATGTCCACGGTCAACTAAAGAGGATAAAGAGAAGTGTATGAAAGTGCTTCTTAGAAGTCAAAAGCAAGAAGATTAAGAAGAGAAAGCATGATGAAGATTTGAGGGCAGAGGTCACTATTGGCAAGGACAGTGTTATTGAGGAGCTTGAAAGAGAGCTTGGTCGTCGTAAAAGTCCTCACTTTCAAGGTCCGATGGACAACTTTGCTACAACTATTAACCCTCAAGCAACTTCTGCTGGTCAGAAACGTCAACAGAGTCTCCATGATGCGATTTCAAAGGAAAAAACAAATCAGGTGCATCAGTATTGTGCTCGCTGGATCTACAACTCAAGCATCGCTTTCAATGCCATTGACAATGACGACTTCAGGCTGTTTTGCGAAGCTTTAGGACAGTTTGGTCCTAATTGGCAGCCTCCAAGTCAGCATCAGCTTCGGGAACGACTTCTTATTGAGGAGAAACAAAGGACAAAGGAAAAGCTGAAAGACTTAGAGGAAGAATGGGAGCAGGAAGGATGCTCTGTGATGACTGATGCATGGACTGATATGAGAAGAAGAAGCATCTTTAATCATTGTGTCAACTCAAGATCAGGTACATGTTTTCTTAGTTCACAAGATTGTTCTAAGGAGTCTCACACAGGTCAGTATATCTTCGAGTATATAGATAAGTGCATCGAAGAAGTAGGTCCTCTGAAGGTTGTCCAAGTGGTGACTGATAATGCAACCAATAATGTGGCGGCTTCAAAATTGCTTAAGGAGAAGAGGCCGAATATCTTCTGGTCTGGATGCGCTGCTCACACCATTGATCTGATGCTTGAAGGAATTTCAAAGCTGGATGGGATTGCTAAAATAATAGACCAAGCCAAATCTCTCACAATCTTCATCTACGCTCATCATAGAACCTTGGACTGATGAGATCACATACAAAGAAGATGGACATTGTGCGACCAGGAGCAACAAGGTTTGCAACTTGCTTCTTGACTATGCAAAGTCTCTATGAAAAGAAGGGAATGCTGATTGGCAAAATAACAATATATAATCTTTTGATTGTATTGTAATAGATGTGATTGGCAAAATAACAATATATAATCTTTTGTAATGTGATCATGTTGATTCAATATGTGTTATTGAGTTACATATAAGAAAATGTTTGAAAAATATATAAAATATAGTTAAAAATTCATCCCCGTTTAATCCCTGTTTAATCTCCGTTTTTTGAGAAATCCCAAATCCCGACCCGACCGCCCGATGAACGATTTCCGATGTTTTGAACGTAGTATACATGTAGATTTTTTATTTCTTAATGAGAAAGAAACTTGAAAAAATATAGTTTCTATATATTTGTTTTTTTTTTTCCTTTTCGTAATGGGAATATGTTTTTTATTCCTTTTCTTATTGGATGTAACATTTTTTAATTATTTTTTCATGTTTTTCTGTTTTTTTGTTTTTTTTTCCTTTTCATAATAGGATTATGTTTTTTCTTTACTTTTCCTAATGGATGTAATATTTTTTATTTTTAATTGTTTGTTTCATTGTTTCTGATTTTTCCTAATGTATTAATATGTTTTATTTATTAAATTATTTTGAATTTCAATATGTGTTTAGATAATATAAATTTGATGAAGGAGAAACCTTTTTCTATTAGGATATGACAAATATGTTTTTTTTCTTTTTATTCTAATAGATAATTTGTTTTTTAATTTTCGTTTTTCTTTTAAAAATGTTTTTTTCTTCTTATTTCTAAGATACGTGTCTCGATCTTAACGGACATAATCTTAAAAGTGACACATGTCGCGATCCTATATTTTATAAAAATCATATGTGTCGCAACCACGTCGTGCGCATCCAACTTTATATAATAATAAGATAAGATGTATTAATTAGAAAGAGAGTATTGTTTAATATATTTATAAGGTTTAAAGAGGTTATTAAACTTCACGTAAAGCGTTTCCCCTTTTTTTCTCCTAGACCTAATTTCTAATTCCTGTGGTCTTCCGTTTTGAGTGAAAATTTTCCGAACCAATACACCATGAAACTTGAAGATGATGTTCCGGAATCGATCATGGTGATGATTCTGGCGAGATATTACCAATCATGTTTATTTCGAGATTAAATTCAGTGTGTAGCCAATGGAAACAGCTCTTCGAACTTTAACAAAAAAAAAAAAAAAAAAAAACAGCTCTTCGAATCTTCCTATTTCCGTAACCTCTACGGATCCTTGAACCACAATTTGTCCTCTCCGTGGTCGATCATGAATCTAGATAGCCGCTCAAGAGAGTATTTGCTCGAACATTTTTCAGAGAGATGGGGACTTACCGAGACACTAGGTACTTCTCTATTACGTCTACTCGACCACATGAAGGAAGGAACCAGAGCCGTGGACATCTCGGACGGGTTGGTTTTGCTTGCTGAGAAAGACAAAGAAGACTCTTTCTTGGTTGCTAATCCTGTGTTGCAAGAATGGATCAAAATCCCTTCACCTCCTCCGGTAGAAGCTCGTTGTCTCTGTGAAGCAGCACTAGTAACACACATGAGCAACGATGGTGATCTTTTGGGTTACAAAGTTGTTAGGTTTGAGAAACGATTATCAATAAGCAGCTTTAACTTTCAGGTTTATTCGTCTAGACTGGGGATTGGGCTTACATTCTTCCAATCATTCATTCTTTTTGTCATATATTAATGTTATTGTCAGTCCATTTTTTTATCCTCTGAGCTAAGCGGGCTCAAATAAAATAGCGCATGCAAAATGTATGAAAATTAGAATAACGCATTTGGTTTTTTTCTTACAAGAAAAATCAACACAGCAAAAATCCTTGTGCCTCTCTCCAGGTGATGCCACATAGGATTTTTTAAACAGGGAGAGCCTGACACGTCAGTTAAAACGCTTGGCCAATCAAAACATTTCATCAATCTCTCCTTTTTTTTTTTCTTTCCTTCCAGATCTCCGTCTCCTCTTAGCTCGATCTCATGAATTCTTCTCTTCATCAATTTTCCTTCGCACGACTCCGACGACAATTTGTGGACGCAGAAGAATGGGAAATCGAAACTTAATCCGAGTCAGGTGGTGCTCTCTCCATGGAATCGGATTAGAGAGAGCAGATTTGTGGTGGATAAGAAGAAGAACTTCTGTAAGGAGAAAGGATTCACCAGCTCGTCTTGATTTTTCTCTGATCCCTCTCGCTCTTCTCGCTCAAAGTCCTCCTTTATTCTCCTCCTTCCTTGATACCACGAACGCGGAGAATAGTTACGTATCAGAATTAGATCTTTAAAAAGAAAACACTCTCTCGCTTAATCGTCCCAAGCTGAAAAAACTCTCTCTCTCTCGCTAATCATTCCAAGCCGATAAGAAAGATCAGATTCTCGAAAGATGAAACACCACCATAAGCTCACGGTGGCTTAGCTCAAGGTCTCAGTTTACATGTCTGCCGTTCTCGATTTTCTGTTTCTTCAAATCTGCAATCCCAATCCCATATATGCGTCCTCGATTCGTCTTTAATTCAATCCAAACCTTTACTGTTTGTTGATCATTCATTCTTGAAAAAATGACGATACGACCAGAGGCTCGGTGTCCGCGCTCCGTTTTCATGACCCCGTTCTAAGCATCTCCCGGCGAAGTTAGTTTCTCGATTAAATTTCCGAAACTGGTCTGATTTTATATGGGATTGGGTCCTTAATCTGAAGATATATCAGCTAATTTGTTTCCTTGGTTTGTTTTACTGCTCGGGTAATCAAAAGCCATAACAAAAGCTGAGAGGCAATACAACGAAAGATCATGTATATGAGTAGATTCGATTGGGTTTTCTAGAAGAAACAGTTTGAGTTCTTTTGAATCATCCAGGACTTGAAAATCATCAGATTGTGAACACTAAAACACTTTTGAGTTTAACGGTTTGATTGAATCTTGTTGTACGATATTACAGCTTTTTAGTATTTGGAGTTAATTGATTATGAGATGTGATGTCTAGGATTTGGATTGTAACCAAGGTTGTGATAGCATTTTGGAGCTTAAGCCTTAAGGTATACCATGAGTGCAAGATGACGAGCAGTGGTAATACAACCACATCAAAACACTGATGTTTCAGCTCTCTGCAACTAAGATTCACTAAGTGCTTCCAAAACGTCTAGGTATTTAAGTATGTTCTCAGTCCGTGACATAAACGATTGCATAGATGGTGAATCTGATACACTCAAAGGTTTGATTCATGCTTCTTATGTTAAGGACCAACAAATTATTAAGAAAGTTGTACAGCGTTAAAATATATATATATGCTTGTAGTTGAGGATGCTTGTACTAGATTGCATATTTCTTTCAATGTTGTTTTTTCATTATGAGGATGTTGTTTAGAGTAGAACCTGAGCTGAAAAATGAGGCGAGTGATACAACCGGATTTGCACTACTCAATGCCCAACTAAATACTAAACTATTTCTCAACGGTTTGGGTGGAATTTATGCCATGGTGATCAAAAGAGTTCATTATGGTGAAAAGTGTTTGCTCATGTAATGTAAGTGGCATGAGACATAAATATAGGCATGTATATATATTCGAAAAACAAAACCAAAATGAAACCCGTGCCACACTCATATTTTTTATTCCTATTTTTAATAATCCAAAATGTTATTTTACTAATATGAAAACTATTGTATGTTTATGATCAAGAATTAGCGGGTAAAAGTTAGTGGGGGGTATAAAAAACTATTATCTTGAATTTTTCTATTAAATTAAAATTGGATATTGGCACATAAGGTTCGGGTATAGAAAATATCATATACTGTTTTTTAATAACTAAAAGTACAATCAAATGGGTGTAAACGTTGGTCGGGTATCAAAAACTATTACCCAAAATTTATCTGTAAAATAATAGTTGGATACTAACGGGAAAGATTCATGACAAATCATATAATTATAATCCAAACGATTATTTCTATAATTAAAAATACAATCATATTGATGTAAAAGTCGATCAGGTATCAAAAATTGTTATCCAAAATTTATTCATAAAATAAAATTTGGATATTAATGGGTAAGGATTCGGTACAGACAAGATCATGTAGTTATAATTCTATTATTTTTATAAATAAAAATATAATCAGATTGATGTAAAGGTTGATCTCAAAAGCTATTATCCAAAATTTATTCTTAAAATAAAAATTATTAAGAAAAACAAACATCAATTTGTATTTTAAGATATTTGATTAAGCTCATTTTAATTTATTTTATTTGAATTTAACAACAATCTGTAAATAAAAAAAATAATGGTATAGAAGAACTCCCACAGCGAAGCGCAGATACATTCCTAGTACTAACAATAAACATGAAGAGTCTGAGAATAATAAATATATTAATCGATGCATGTAGCTACTACAATGACCAATAAAATTGAAATAGTTAATAGTTTAGTAATTGAAATAAATAAATTATTGTTATGTAGAAATAAATGAATTAATTTATAGTAAAGAGAAGAAAGTTGTCAAAAAAATTCTTTACAAAAATAAGTATAACATAAGAAAAATATATGCAAATCGTAAGAAAATTATCAGCAAAATATATGTAAACCATAGGTAAAACATGATAAATATGATAATTTCTCTAATTTTTATCATGTTTTGCTAATATATATATATATATATATTAAAATTATATATTTAAAATTGAGAACCACATATAATTGTTTTGGAGTATGGAAGTATGGAATCTGGAGCCTTGCCGCGAAAGGTGTTGAATTCCAGATGCTCGAATTTGGTGATGTTATGAAAGTAACCGCCGGGACTAGAGTTAATCTTCCCCCATCAGCGTGGTCTCAGATTATTACGTGGCTCCCTCATTCTTCAAATAATGAGGTGTCACTCTTCTCTTTACTCCAAGCTTGGCATGCGTGTGTGTATGAAATCTGGTGCGAGCGGAATCGTCGATATCACCTCGGCGTCACACTCCCTCCAAGACGCATCAGTCAAAAGATTTGTCTGATTTTAAAAAACAAAGCAGTGGCTTTGTCTCAGACTGGAGCGTCCTGTGGCCCTCCTCTGCTACTCTGCTGGTCATGAGAATCTCTTCCGGAACCTTATTGTTTCGAGTCTTTGGGAAGGAGTTCTTAAAATTCCTTTCCTCTCCTAATATGGTGCTCTGAGTAGTGCCCGTTTCCTCATCTAAAAAAAAAAAAAAAGTAACCGCCGGGACCAGATGCACAGTGAAAGGAGTATCTGTCAGTGAAATCCCGGTGTAGAAGAGACTCTACTTGGTGCCTTTTGACAATACACAACAAAAATCATTAATCTAAACATATGACGATGAAAATACAAAACTTACTCGAATAAAGTCGTTAAAGCAATCATCCCAAAGACCTTGAAACTCATCACAGATGTTGTGTGATTTAATCACATATTTAAAGTTTAGATACATTCCAGATTTAAATCCGTTCGAGAACTCAGATTTACTTTACTTCTCACTGTTGTAAAGTTTAGGCTTTTAAAAATTGAACTTAAGTCCGGTGCAATGGTTTGTCAACCCGCTAGAAAATTAAAATTAGATCATTTAATATCTTATTATATAAAGCGGGATGCGGGCAATATGATTGCGATATATTTTATTTTTATAATTCATTGGATATATTTCTTTGGAGTAATTTTCGGCTATTTTTCATTTTAAATACATTGACTTTAATCAATACAATAAAACCCCATGTGCCTCTCCATATCATGACATATCAGTTTTTTTTAGCTTTCTGAATTTGACATGTCATTAAAAACATTCAACCAATAATAGAAACATTTTAAATAATATCAGTCAGCAGATTCATTGGTTTAGTTGCCACGTTTGACCTGGTTTGATCCATGTTAACTTCGGTTAACTTCCAATCAGCTAGCTACTCAATCCGGTTAACTTCATTCTTCTCCAGTTCTCCTTCCACAAAATTTCGTTCCTCTTCTTCTGTAAGTCTTTTTCTATTGATTCATCACAATCACTTTAGAATTGTCACTTTCAAATTGGATCGGCGCCGAGTTGGAGACATGTTTGCGTTGTGCTCTCCGCCGAGGTTATAATGGCGGGTGATTGTGCAATTGACACGGAGAAATACTCTCTGTTCGAGGATTTCAATGTCAATGTCAAGGTTTCTCCCAGCGGCTCCGGTCAATGTTTGAGACTTTCTCTATTTCCTTTTGGGTTTATCTCTTAATTCCACCGCATACCCTTCTACAATCATCAGACAGGTGAGTTCTCGATTACTAAAAGCTGTCTTCTCTGAAATGTTCATCTGCTGGATTCATGTCTTAAACTTGTATAGTCTTCTCACATGTTTGAATTTGGGATAAAGGTTGGAACTTTTGAATTTTCAAGTACAACTTTTTTACTGCTCATTTTGGTGGTTGTTGTTAATATAACAATTTTGTTGTCGATCGTCGTGATTTCAAGGTTTGTTTGATTGAATCAACAGGTTCATGGATGATTCCGTGATTAAGTGGCTTTTCATTTTCATTTTCAGGTTCACTCCGGCATGTGTGTTAGGGCACCTTTCCTTGTCCTTGATGAAAACAAGAAGCTGATGCTTTTGCCATTGACTCTCCTTCACGAGGAAGCTCCTGATCCTGTCAACACTTCTTCTTGGACTGAAGTTCCTAATGTTTCTACAAAAGCTCAGTTTCCTCTTCAAAAATGGGTTCATGTTGGTTGTGAGGTAATTAAGATCTCTCCAAGACTCTTTTGTTAATCAATCAATAGGAGAGATTGTATCTCTTACTGATTTCTGTCATTTCCTAGGTTTCTAGAAACTACATGCGCCTTTATATTTGCGGAGAGATTGTAGGAGAGCAAGTCTTGACTTCTTTGAAGACCAATGTCACTACTTCAGATTGTGCACGAAAGATTTCACTATTTAGTGTTGGTGGAGATGGTTATAGCGTTAGTTTCATCCACCGTGCAGACGTATTGCCATCTAGAATGTGTGGTTCTTTCTCTCCTTCAGTTTTAAATGTAAGTCCTTTTTTGTTTATGTTGTACCACAAAATCAGATTGTTTCTGCTATCTCGGTGTTGGAGAGTGTTTGATTCGACATGACTTATTGAAGTTTTTCCCTTTTTCGAATCAGCTGTACTGCAAATCGGATTGTTTATGCTATCTCGGTATTTGAGTGTTTGATTCGACATAACCTATTGAGGTTTTCGCAACTGATCAACAGATGGCTACATGAAACTTAGCGGCTGCCCCTGCTGCTACCAAGGCTGCAAGCAGGTCATCTGATGAGGTTAGATTCTACACATTAAGATATTATAAAGCAGCTTCTGATTTCTAAGACTTGATTTACTGACCATGTGTTTCTGTGGTTGATTTTGCAGGAAAGTGAAGATGAAAAGCCTGCATTAAAGAAGGCTAAAAAGCTGCTAAAGGATAGCAGCAGCGATAAATCTGAATCTGAGAGTGAAGATGAGAAAGAAACCCCTTAGAAGGAGGTGCGAGAAATGCTTACTTTCCTTTATTCTGAGAAATTGATAAAGCTACAACAAGTTTTATTATGATCTTACAATATAGAAGTTGAATTGCATATTGTTTATACCTGCTGTTTGCTGATGAAAAATTACTCATTTATACTGTTGTAATCAGAGTACTGATGAGATGGTTGATGCTGAGCAAAAACAGTTGAGAATCTCTTCCCTTAACATTGTCGTTGCTCTAATCTCTTTCTGTATCATGCTTTGTTGTTAACTTTTTGTGCATCGTGTTTTTTCTTTCAGCCTAAGACAACTTCTACAGGATGATGCAACACTCACTTCGTTGGTAATCTCTCATTCCATGTTGAGGAAAAATATGTGTAAGAAGAAAACAGAGCACAGGAGTTGATCCATTACTCCCGTTACTCCGATTACTGAAATGGGAGTTGAAATGACAAGAAATACATTCAGTTTAACCCAGTTTGAAATGTTTATCCATCTAATCACAAATATACTAGCACTGAAGAAGTTGAAACTATAGTAGCAAAGCAAATAACATATTTTTTGGTGAAAAAGGAAATTTTTTATTTTTGTGGCAAATAATTGAATTTTGTGATTTTTAAAATTTTGTTGGTATACTTAGATATTTTATTGATATCCCAAGTATATATAAAAAGTCTGATTGATTGAAAACATAATCTAAAAAATAATATAAAGGTTGGTCGGTATCAAAAATTATTACCCAAAAATTATGTGTAAAATATAGTTGGATATTAGCGGGTAAAGATTGGATATGTATAAGATCATTTGGTTACAATTTAAACGATTATTTTCATAATAAAAAACGAAATCAAATGGATGTAAAAAATCAATCGGGTATCAAAAACTATTATCCAAAATTTATCCATCAAAGAAAAATTATTAGAAAAAATAGACATTGCCTTTATTTTAATTCATTTCATTTGAATTTAACAATATTATAGAAGAATTTTCGTAGCACAAAAGTCTCCCGCGGCGGAGCGCGGGTCTCCAACCTAGTTAGTGACAAAGGAATGAGGGAGAACAAAAAATTGGGATTATTTGCAAAATACCTTGTTTGGGTTTTAATATTTAAAAAATACCATAACTTTTTATTTTATTTTGAAAACTACACTTTTTAACATGTAAAATTACTTTTTTTTACTTTATTTAAACAAATAAATAATAGATAATTAATTTACAATTAAATTCGAAATTAAACTTTTACTAATATATAGTTTTGTTTTTAATATTTAAAATTAAATTCGTTTTAATTATTACCAAAATTTAATTAGTTTTGTAGTCTTAAACTAGTTTAATATCATACCTATAATCTAGGTTTCATCAAACTATTTGAGCCATAAACAAGCTATAAACTTGACAATCTATTGATAATAATGTGGCTTCAATTTCTTATGTACTTGTTCATTCAATATTTAATAATGGTGGATTTTGTGCCTATGATGGTGTACTCCTCATACATACTTTAACAAAATATTAAAACATGTTCTTGTACCTTCTACAGTTGAATAGTCTACACCAAAGAAGACAATATGAAACTGTGTGCAGAAATGCTAAATAATAGTTTTGTTAAAAAGAAATATTTTAGCAGATAATGAGGAATATATATCAGTTTGAAATGAAACAAAATCATAATCTTTGTTTTTATCTTATATATAATAGGAGAGTTTTCTCTCTATCTAACCTATCCACATCAGCAAAAAAAATCATTATACTCTTATATTTAATATATGTCTATTCAAATTTCTTTATATATTCTTATTTTACTCATAAATAAAACTAAGAAAAATACACAAATAATTTAATTATTTAATATAAAATATGTGATAACTTGATATTCAAAGTTAAAAGAAATTTATAATATAAAATGAAGATGAAGTGAAAAAATATTTAACTTGAAATAATATATAGTTAGATTTTAATTCAAAAGATTTATCTTATTTACAAATGTTATAATCTGTTTACAAGTAAAAAAAGTACAATATAAATTAATTCACATAGTAGAAAGTTAATGAGAAATTAGAGTTAGAGTTTGTTTTTTTAAAACAAATAAAATCTGGCTTACTATTTAAATTTTATTGCAACTTATTTTTTAAAACAAATAAAATCTGACTTACTATTTAAATTTCATTACAATGATTTTTCTAAAACAAATAAAAGCTGACTTACTATTTAAATTTCTTTGCAAAAATTTTTTTTTAAGGATTATGACATGCTTGTTTCAAAAATATAATTAATATTTACAAAACTAACATGATACCACAACAAAACATATATGTAAAAAGTTAAAAATATCACAACAAAACATATTTCGAATGCAATTGTGATTCTACACCATGTTTACAAATTTTAACTTCAGTCAAATGCATGCTAAATTTTAGAAATATAAAACTTGAGATGAAGTGAGGTGTTAAAATCTTAATAAAAACAAAGTGTTAGTTGTTAGGTTAACTCAAAACTTAACCAAAACATGGAATTTAACACAAAACCATCATAATTCAAATTTTCAAATCAATGAATATAAATAAAATCAAACAGAAAAATTATAGCAAACAACCCCGCGCTTGTGCGGGGTTTTAATCCCTGGTTATTTCAATATTTTTTTAATTAAATTAGTTAGAAATTGCAAGAATAGTTTAGTCTTTTTACATATAAAAAGTGTAGTTTTTAAAACCCAAAAATATAGGGTATTTTTCAAAATAAAAACCAACATTAAGGTATTTTTCACAAATTTCTCAAAAAGTTATTCTCATTCCCTAATAATGACATCACTAGTAGAGTACCCGCACGTTTGTGCGGTGTGACGTTGTTGTTTTGTGTAGAATATTTAAACACTTAATCCGAACTCGACAAAAAACCTTAATCAAAAAATTTTAAAATCCAAACATTTTTAATAGGTCTAAACATGAAAATCCGAAATCAAAAAAATCTCGAAAACCTTGACTGAACAAAAAAAATTCTGGAAACTTTTTCACCCGAAACCCGACCCCAATACCTAATCAAAATTTTAAAATACTCAATTTTTTTAATATATCTAAACCCGAAAACCAGAAATCTAAAAAATCCGGAAAACCCTAAACTGAAAAAAAAAATTGAACCTAACCCGAACAGAAATTTTCAAAGAAACCCGGACAATTTCTATATCTCTATATATATCTCTATAAAATTATGTCTCATATTTTCACCCAAACTCGAAAATTATGTCAACATCCAAACAACTTTTGTTTCCATTTATTCTTCTATCCAAATAGATGTTTTTCTAATTCTTGTATCCAAACATTAGAATGTACTTCTCAATTAATAATATAATAATAAAGATTTATAAGTTACTAGATTATGCCCCGCGTATACGCGGGTTTATTATACAATTTTTGAAATAAATCATAAAAAATATTAAATAAATTTGACACTTTAAAAGTAAGTAGATTAATATTAAAACCCCGATAAAAGACCTCTAAATATTATTATACTGGTAATATTTTACAATTTTATTATAATTAACATATTTTATGAATTCATGATACGAAAAAATGAATTAATTTATTATCTTTTTACTTTTATCTAAAATTGAAAGACTTACACATGTATAAGTGTGATTGATTAATTAATTCATGAAAATTTTATTATTTCATTGAAGAGATTTCGGTTGATGAAATCTTTCTCTTAAAATAAATTTTTACCTAACAAAAAAATAGTGAACGATGCACAAAAACTTGAATTATGTTTTCCTGTTTCAAACAAAAGTAAAACTTTAATGTTAATCAATGTTATAATAAGATTATCTATATCAATATAATAAGATGTTACTAACCTTTTCATCAAGTAATAGAAGCTCAACTCCCATAAGAATATTATTTTCTTTAGGATTTCTAGCTTCCCACTTTCGAATAACACGTACTATAATTTTGATTTCGATCCAATTGACCTAAAGTCAAATAATCTCTACTGTTCTCTTGAACTTTCAAAGACATGATTTTAAAATTAGAGAAAGATAATCAAAGAGATTTGCTGAATTTGCTTTGATGAGTTTGTGAATGAGAAAAAGAGAATACAGTAGCTCTCTTTTTATAGGGGGTTCATGTAACCAATTTCATACAGTTTTATGATATTTAGTTTACATACCTATTCCATATACTAATAGGATTTTTTAAATAGGGATTTATGTAACCTATTCCATACAGTTTTAGATATTTAGTTTACATACCTATTCCATATACTAATAGGTATTTTTTTATTACATTATTTTTAATTTATTATATAAATTTTTCGTTTTTATTATAAAAGATTAAAATTTTCCCTTTAATTTTTTTTCTTTTTTTCCGAAGACATGTGTCACGATCTTAACGGACATAACATTAAAAGTTACACATGTTGCAATCCTATATTTTATAAAAATTCTACGTGTCGCAACCACATTGTGCGCATCCAGCTTTATATAATAAGATGTTTATTCCATATTATTTATTCTCATCATTCCATATTGTTTAAGGAATTTTTTATTTCTTATAAGAAGAGATAAAAGTTTCCTATATTTTATTCCTCTTTTTGTTACTAAAGAGAGTTATTAAACTTCGAACGTAAAGCGTTTCCCCTTTTTTGTCTCCTAAACCTAATTTCTAATTCCTGTGGTCTTCCGTTTTGTGTGAAAATTTTCCGAACCAATGAAACTTGAAGATGATGTTCCGGAATCGATCATGGTGATGATTCTGGCGAGACTACCAATCAGGTCTATCTCGAGATTTAAATCAGTGTGTAGCCAATGGAAACAGCTCTTTGAATCTTCCTATTTCCGTAACCTCTACGGATCCTTGAACCAGAAGAATTTGTCCTCTCCGTGGTCGATCATGAATCTAGATAGCCGCTCAAGAGAGTATTTGCTCGAACATTTTTCAGAGAGATGGGGACTTACCGAGACACTAGGTACTTCTCTATTACGTCTACTCGACCACATGAAGGAAGGAACCAGAGCCGTGGACATGTCGGACGGGTTGGTTTTGCTTGCTGAGAAAGACAAAGAAGACTCTTTCTTGGTTGCTAATCCTGTGTTGCAAGAATGGATCAAAATCCCTTCACCTCCTCCGGTAGAAGCTCGTTGTCTCTGTGAAGCAGCACTAGTAACACACATGAGCAACGATGGTGATCTTTTGGGTTACAAAGTGGTTTGGTTTGAGAAACGGTTTTCAATAAACAGCTTTAACTTTCAGGTTCATTCGTCTGAGACTGGGAATTGGACTTACCGTGAAGTCTTGCATGACCGTGGAAACCTTCATTATCATCTTAACTCCAAACCCATTAACTTGAATGGTTGTGTTCATTGGCTATTCAGTTTATCTGGAGTCATTATATCTTATGATGATTTCTATGCTAGGACCAGCCAAGAAGCTCAACAGCTTGGTCGTGTTGTGGATTTACCTGATTGGTCCAATTATAGCAAATACACATGCACAGTCTCATGCGGATCTCTCATGTTAATCCAAAAGACCGGAAGAGAAATGAGAGTTTGGAGGCTGGAGAAACAGGAAACCAATTGGGAATTGGTGTGGAACGTTACAACTTATGGCCAAGATCTCTTTGGCAATGGCTCTATAACATGTAGGATGCCAATGATGATGCACCCTTTCGATAGCGAGGTCGTGTTCCTCTTGGGCCGTGGATCAGATGGTGGACATAGCTATCTGGTTTCAGGTAATATGCGCACAGAGAAGTTCCAACTCCACAAAGAACTGAACCATGTCCCACTATCTGATGTCCACTTTTGTCAGTTCGTGCTTCCACAGAGACTCGGCTCGATTCCATGTCCTCCTGGTTGCTCCCTTGTTACAGCTTCAGCTACACAAGTCTAACAAATATGAAATTAGTTAACAATAACCTTTTTGCTTTTGTGCTTCAGCTACACAAACCTTTTCGGTTAATACGTTAAGTATGCTCTTTCTAGTTTACAATTGATTTAGGTTTTTTTTTTTTTTTTTCCATAAATTGGTTGTAATATTGAAGTGACCGGTGTGAAACAAAATTTATATGGACATGTCTGTAATATATATAGTTTGCAGTAATCTTATTGTAGACATGTCTCCAAAGTACATTCCAACAAGTTATATAGATTATGATGCTTACTTACTCAGGATGATTTTCCCTCCGATGATTTGTCCTGTTCCATTGTTAACGATTATATGTTACTTGATATATATACATCAGAATTAAGCCTTGCATGGCCCTAATGTTTTCAGGTAAAAAAAGAACTACTTTAAATGGGGAGCTGAAGGCGATAACAGCGTATTACTTGAGACAAGATGTTTGTGAGAGCTTAGAAGAAGAGAGTGGTTCTTCTCACATATACTGGTTGAGACGAAGAGAGTGATTATTAGCTGCATTTGCGTTGATAAAAACTGAATTTGTGTATCCGTCGGAATGCAAATTCGCCAGGCAGATTAACAAGGCTCCGTTCTCTGGTAGCAACATTGTGAAAGTGTTTCCAAATGATCCAAAATTCAAGCCTGGAATTTCATCAAGCTATGGTAAAGGGTTTATGAAGAAAAGCACAAAGCTCACCGTATCTGCTGATCTGGTTATACCTCCGATGAATTCATCTTCGGCCATTGGCTTGTTGAAGAAGCTGAAGGTAGACTGCAGTGATCTTGAGGAGAATCAGATTAACATTTCCAGAGAAGAGGTATGCTTTTAATACTATTTCCTAACTTTAGTTTTTGAATGTTTTGCTTCGGAGTAATAACCATATTTCTTCTATTGCAGCTAATCAGCATTCTCACTCTCAGAGCTTCCTTGATCTCGTCCTCTGCATTGACCAATGGTCTCTCAAGCTTGCTCGTCAAGAAACCAAAGAAAGAAACTTGATTGATTCGCCTCTGTTTCAGATGATCATGTCTTACATCTTTTTGATTCTGCATTATCTATTACAAGCTTCACGTCTACGTTTCTGTTTTCACAAGACTTCTTTTTATTTTTAATTTTAGTTCGAGCTTGATGCTCTTCTTCTATATACATTCATTTTATGGCTTTAAGCATTCACTATTACATTTTGTTCTTCTACCACTCTTTATATCTGAATCAGCATCACATATTTTGTTTCACTTTACCTCAAACAAGAACTAAAGCATTGCAAAGCCCATGTCCAGAAGATGATTAACCTAAAGCAATTACATAATGAAATAGAAGTTTAAACACTTCTGACATAACCACAATCTGATAAAATTTAAGACAGGTTTTGACGACAAACAAGTTCTTATTGCTGACTCCAACCTTCATATTCCTGATAAAATTAATTGCAAAGGATAGCTCCAGCTTCAGTTTAGAGAGGAACAAACTTAACATCTCCATTTAAGTTGGTTGTCGCTACAAAAAAAAAGATGAAAATCAAAAGATTAAGCCTCTAGAAAGTAGAAAACTGTAAGTAAAAAAAATCGAAACAGAGTTGCTCTGTTTTGGGATCAGAAAGGTTTACTCAAAGTGAATGAGTGCAGAGATTCATAAGACAAACCTGAATTCCAAAGCTGCAAGCAATCTCATGACTCATCATCCATCTATCAATTAGTAGCTTTAACTTGATCCATTTCTTTTGTTTGCCGCACTCAGGAACCAGATAAGGAAGTTGTAGATTGTTCAGCCTGTGGGTTCTTCAGGTTTTGCTATATCAGGAGACTTGAATTTGCTAGAAAACATCATCATGACAAGTGATGCTCGTTATATAATTGTTGTGGAAAAGGTATTCCTATTTCAGTCAAGGACATCTAAAACATAACAAAATCGTTCATATAAGTCACTTCTAGATGTATTTTCAGCATGTTATATTTAATAGGCTTGTGGAAGACCGTGTGTACTGATAGTAGGTTTTTAGTATCAACTATCCTCAAATCAACCACTCATGTCATTGTAGTAGTGTGAGGTGTCAATCCAAGTGGAGTTTTAGACAAATCAAATGTAAAAAGGACAAATTCAAGTGCAATCGAAAGGTTTTGTTTTTTTCGTGTTAAAGACTATAACTTTAAGTTAATGAAACAGCGAAATATGTAAACTTTGACTAAATATGAAGAAAGGAGGTCTCTTGGGTGAGATTTGGTTGAGGTCACTCTTGTTCAAGACCATTCATCTCTAATCTAAACAAGACTCAAGCTTTGTGCTTAGACTTTAGGTGAACCAGCCACTCCAGGTCGCTTTGTTGGTTCGAAACCCAAAGCTAGCTCTCACTAGTGGGCTCAAAGCTACAAGCTTTTGGTTGGATCTAGTCTAAAATAGCACAAAGAACGTCCCAACAACCAATCTTTTAGGTTGGGAACGTTCCTTTCTATCGCTAGCTCTCTTAGGCATTATCGCAAACACCTTCTAGGTGTGCTAGCCTAGATTCGCAACTTCAAGTGATCAAAAAGAAGCCGAGATATAACGCTCTAACTAAAAAAAAAAAGCTGGCCGAGAGAGACTAAGACAGAGGTCAACAGGAAGCTAAGCTATAACCTTTCCTCGTCTCACCCTCGAAACCTCTAAGGAAACTATTAGCTACTCATATTCGAATCACAAGCAAAGAGGGAAAGAAAGCCGGAAATCATCATTAAGACAAGATTAGTAAACTTAAGTACTTCTTAAACTTAAAAGATTCAAATAAAAGCTTACAAAATATCTCCAAGAACAATTTTCTTGGAGAGAAACTGGTTACAAAGATAAAGGATGCCTAAAAACTTAGGTCTTAGAGTTTATATAGAAGAGGGGAAAGTTTAGCCTCGGTCAACATTTTAGCTTTGACTTCGCAGCTGCGCGTGGCTTGAGCAACTACGTCAAGTACTCTGTTTTCTCATGCTAAAGGCTCTGTTCCGTCAAACTCCAGCAGACTTCCGCTGACTCTGATCACCCTCCGGTCTGCTTCCTATCATCACTTCCGGTCTGCTCCTTCGCATAAGCTCCGAATACCTGATAAATGCACCACAAATTCAGAAGAAATGCCAAATGCTATCCTAAAAGCTGAATGATTCTAGGTAGACTAATTCTACACTAAATGCCATGAAATGGGACTCAAATATATACAGAACTATGCAGAATGCGAGGTTAAATGTATGCAAATGTTGAGTATATCATGTACAATCAAATTTCTTGTGTGTTCTTTAATTCAGATTACAAAACCATGTTTGCAATGTAGTCATTGACATTGAGTGTTTGGAAGTTTAACTTTTTTGCAATAAATGTTTTGGAAAATTTAACTTTTTATTTAAGAACCATATAAAATGTTTTATCAATGGAAGAAGAAAAAATTAACAACCCACACAAAAATTGTTAACATAAATATGATAGAAAGTGATAAATAAAAAATTACTAAAAAGTAAAAACCAAATATTTGGTTCTAGCAATGGAGAATAATTTTACTAGGTTTTTAACCCACACATGGTTATATATAAAATGTTTTAGCACATTATGATGATCTTTAAATCTGAATATTTTCACCCTCAACTATTACTCTATTAGAATTTCATCAAATTTACGTTGTCTTTTTAGTTTATTGATTATTATTTTGAGGTAGTATAGTCTTTTGATTGGTTATTGACAGACTATTTTCCAATTATTCCTTCTTGTTGTCGTATATATATATATTACTAGATAAGGTCTCACGTATACGCGGAATTTATAATTTAGTATCAAATTTTGTAGAAAAACTATTCAAAAAAAATCTCATCACTTTGAAAAATAAATAAAAATAGAAAACTACACCATTAGAAAATTATTAATTTTTTATATATGTACATTTTCGTAAATTCAATAACTAAATCAAAGTTATGATTCAAATAAAAATTTGTTGAAAAACAAATGGTTTCTCGATTCATCTTAACAACAACGCTTGTCATAATCATAACAATATTTTCTATCACACAATATTTTTTCCATAAGGATTAAACCTTGTATAATTATTTTTTTATTTTTTCCTATTGTTATTTGTTTTTTCTTCTGATTTTTTTTTCTTTTTTTTTAGCAAATATGACATTTTTTTTTCATTTTTCCATGAGGATTAACCTTTTTATAAATATTCCTTTTAAATCAGAACGATATTTTTATCCTCTATCATACGATAAGTTTTTAAATTTTGTTTGTTTCATTTTCATAAGCATTAAACTTTTTATATTTTTTTGTTTTATTTTTCCAACTCTTAATTGTTCTTTCCTCTATTTTTTTATAAAGCAAATATCATGTTTTTTCCTTTTTCCATAAGATTTTTTATTTCTTTTTTTTTTTATTTCTGATGTTCATGATTCTTTATTTTCCTTTTCTTTCATTGTTTTCCTTTTTTCATAAGGATTAAACTTTTACTTGTTTTTATCTACTTTTGTATTTTACTGTCAGTTTTCTAATTAGCAAATTTTATTAATTTCTTTAGTGAATGGAAAACCTTTCTCTATTAGGATATGACAAATATAAAAAATTTCTTTTTACTATAAAATATTTAACTTTTTTTTTAACATTTTTTAGTTATTTTTTTTTTCATTTTCCCCAAGACACATGTCACGATCTTAACGGACGTAACCTTAAAAGTGACACATGTCGCGATCCTATATTTTATAAAAATCCACGTCGTAACCACGTCGCACGCATCCAGCTTTATATAATAAAGATTGTCAGTCCAATTTTTTTAATTGTCTGAAAGCTGTAGTTATTAAGTACACAATTTTAAATTGGATAATTGGCAAAATACATCTCAATTAGGAATTTAAATTTAAAAAATGCAATGTTTATAATACTTTTTTAAAAACAAGACATTTGTTACCTGATTTAAGTTAACAATTATATATACTCTTAAAAATTAATAAATAAAAGACTAAAACTCAAAATTAATATTATGTTTCTTTTAATTTGAGATAAATATCTGTGAATTATTTAAAATGTAAAATTCCCCGCATACACGCGGGTTTATTTTTATTTTTATTTTTTAAATCACAGAAGAATATTAAACAAAATTTTATCACTTTTAAAAATAAATAAAATAATAGTAAAAACCTGATAAACAAATCTCTAAACAAAATATCATATGTAATCTTTTTACATTTTTATTTTGAATTCATGATATGAAATATAATTTATGAAACTTTGGTTATTCCATTGATGAAATCTAATCAAATCTAATCTATTCATTAATTTATGAAACTTTGATTATTCCATGATGAAATATTTATTTTAAATATTGATGAAATCTTTATTTTTAATAATGTTTTACCTAACAAAAAATGGAAAGTTAAACTATTTAATATTAGAAGATCAGTCCATTATAAAATTTTCTTTTTAATATTATTTAGTTTCTTGATAATTTTTTTGTTAGTTTTCTGTTTATATTGTTTCTTTTTCAATTTTTTTTTGCTTCTAATCATTATAAATTTTCATTTTCATTATTAGTTAGTTGTTTTACAATTATTTTGTTAGTTTATTTATTTATGTTACTCCATTTTTCGAATTTTCTTTTGTTGACACATATCATCACCTCCTAATCAAATATTAGACACATGTAGCGATCTAGAGTTAAGTATTCTTCATTGATATCTTGAACCTTTAAAGATATGATTTTTTTATTTTTTAATGAGAAAGAAACTTAAAAAATATATAGCTTGGTATATATTGGTTTTTTTTTTCTTTTCGTAATAGGAATATGTTTTTTTATTCCTTTTCTTATTGGATGTAACAATTTTTAATTATTTCTTCATGTTTTTTCTGTTTTTCGTTTATTTTCCTTTTCGTAATAGGATTATATTTTTCTTTACTTTTTCTAATGGTAATATATTTTCTTTTTAATTATTTGTTTCCTTTTTCTGATTTTTCCTAATGCACTAATAGATTTAATTTATTACATTATTGTGAATTTTAATATGTGTTTGGAATTTTGGATTATAAAAATTTGATGAATGGAAAACTTTTTTTATTAGGATATGACAAATATGATTTTTTTCTTTAATTCTAAGAGATATTTTTTTTCTTTTTCTAACGTTTGTGTAACTATTTTTTTTTTCTTTTTTTTCCAAGACACGTGTCACGATTTTAACGGAAGTAAAATTAAAAGTGATACATGTCGCGATCATGTAAATTATAAAAATCCTATGTGTCGCAACCACGTTGCGCACATCCAACTTTATATAATAAGATATATAAACAAAAGATTGTGTGACAGAGTAATTTCTCGTAAGATTGGAAATACCTTTTGGTCTATATTTCTTCGAAACAGAGTACATAGTATATATACCCAGATTTTCATTAAAAAAAATATATATTCATAAGTTCAGTTTATTAATGATGTCGTCTATTTGTTAATATATGATCTTTACTATTGGAAGTAAATATATCAAACCAAACACAAAAACATATATTTTTTTTTTATAAACAAAGAGAAAAACTAAAAAAACTGTCAGGTTTTATTTTTCCGAAAATGAATTGTATCAGCCATTCATGATCATTTTCCAAACCCTAACTTTTAGAAGTAGTATTCTAAGAAATTTACTGAAAGATTTAAGTATATTTTACTTACATTGGCAATAAAAACACACATACGGCAACGAAGTTGCCTGGAAATAAACAACACATACATTCATATATTAACAAAGAGCGAATTACCAACCTACGACCGAGAGTGAAAGCCTGGCCTCATAGAGCCCCATGTAGAAGTACCAAATTCGTTAAAAAGAAACAGGAGAAGGAATCAACAAAATACAACTCAAAAGAACAGAGACAGATAAAATTGAAATAGTTAATAATTATAACTGAAACAATTGGTTTAGTAATTACAATAAATAAATTACTGTTATTTAAAAATTAAAATTTATATATAAAAAGAAGAGAATTGTCAAAACATTTCCTTACAAAAATAAGTAAATTATAAGCAAAATATATGCAAACGATAAGTATAACATAAGAAAATTATAAGCAAAATATATGCAAACGATAAGTATAACATAAGAAATTAACTGTGTACCTTAATCACAAATTTAAACAAAACAAGCAAAGAGGTGAATTAAGAATTTTTAACTATTTTCTTACACGGATTCTATCTACTAAATTTTTCAACACATTTCAGACTTGTAATTTTAACTTCTTACTTTTGTAAAGTCTGGGCTTTTAAATTTTTAACTTAAGTCTGGCCCAATCATTTGTCAACTAATTGGAAAATTAAAATCATATCATTTATTATTTAATATAATTAAGAGATTATTAACCAAAATAAACATGGATACATAATGTTAAGATAATAATAATGCAAGTTAAATATTGAAATCTTAGTTAGGTAACTGAAATGTGATACTTAATCAGCATTTATTCCAATTTCAGTAGCTCAATATCTATGAGATAAAACAATTAGTCAAACACTAGTTTTTTTGTAAGGATTAGTCAAACACTACTAATCAAATTCAAAACTGCACTTAATTATAACGCCAATCCAAAAACACTCAGCTACAGTAAGAAAATAATAAAAAAACAACATATAAAGTGTTCATTTGTAATATTAGAATAGATTTTGATAACAATGATGACGATCAAGATGGTGATTAATATAACTAAAGTATGGTTTTAAAGATCTTACATATTGAAAAACAGTACAAGACCGACAAATATCAAAGCTAGTTTCTCCATTTCACTAAATACGTTTGTATTCTTTTATTTTCTTTTTCTCTTTGTAATTTCGAGACTCTTGTCTTGTAAGCAAATAGTTTGTTTTCTTACTTGCCAGCAATATGTTTTATGAACTTTTTCACTGATCAATTTTCTGCATTTTCTATAGTAAAGAACCTATCTGTTGCATGTAGCAAGATTCTAGAGCTTGAATGTTTATATTTAGAAATAGTGTAGAAACTATACCTAGTTTGAAATCCTTCATGTTGACTCCAAGGTAAACCGGAAAGTCTATCATATAATTGACTAATTAAGGATATAGTTGACTTAAATTGGATGAAATGAAAGTAACAATTGTTTATCCACATACAATATATATCCTCATGAATCCTAAAAATCCTTATTCAAGATCTTGTCTTTTTCGCCGTTCTTTAGATTTCTTAAAAACAAGATCCCAAATACAACTCTTAGTGGCAACTATGGAATCCCTCTCTGCATCGATCTCTGGGATCACTCACAAGTTATCTCATTCCAAAGAAATGGCAGATCATGAGAAGAGAAAGGAAGATGATGAAGAAGAGATGAGATCATCAGAAGGTGAAGAGAAGTGCAGAAGCCATGGTGAAGATAAGAAATGAGTGTAACGAGATTTGATGAGCTATTGGTTCAAGAGATGACGAGAGATAGAGTCAAGATGTTAGAGATCTAGTTGCTTTACTATACAAGATCTAGGGTCATGGAGCTTTTCTTCTAACGTAGCTAAAGCTGAGTAGTGTTCAAAGAGATCCAAAACTCTATTAGATATCACTTGAGTAAGAAGTAAATCAACAAAAATACTAAATACAGCATTAAACCGCAACAAAATACCCGAACCAGTCACGTGTTTTTTCAAACCGGTTCAACAAAAAATGTCATCATGACTACCCCCAAAAAACTCGTAATCCTAAATTCCTGATTTGCCCTTCGCACAGGATCGAATTTACTTAACATCATTAACTAAATTTTAGTATTTACCAAAAAACTCTCTAAACCTTCTCCGAATTACCGGCGGCGTTTACCAGCTGATCTCTTGTTTAGGCACGGCGGAGGATCCGGAGCTTTCGAGGGAGGAGGTGATCAGTTTCAAAGTGGTGAAGATACGGTCGTTGACGTTGGAAAGCTCGAGTCTTGCGGTGGCTACGTTGCTCGCTAAGAACTGTATCCCAACAGTGAGCAAGCATGACGGAGAATAGACGGAAATACCCTCGGGTGGATTCACGGGAACAATGGAGAATCCGAGGGGCAGAATAGGGATACTAGAAGTATCCTCGCCGTTCATAGCGGCTTTGAAGTCGACGGTGGAGTAAACCACGAGACCGCCGGAGTTATCAGTGCAAGTTTCTTGAAGCATCATCTCTTCATTATCCGGTGAGTTGTTCGCCACCTGTAATTAACAACAACAAAAACAAATCAAAACACTAAAATTCGAATTTTTGATTGAAAGGTTTGAAGTTTTTGACAAAACACTAACATTGATATGATGAAGAGATATTGAGTTTCCGAGATGTGATCCATTAGCTATATAAGCAACTTCTTCAAGTGAATCCCCATTGAACAAAATCTCCATTTTCAGCAAGAGAAAACAAAATCTACGAACAAGATTCTATGGTTTAGCTATTTTTACCTGAGAGAGAACATGATCGTCGCGGAGGAGATCAAAGACTTGATGATGAGAAAAAGGAAGAAACTTGGTGGACACGGCACAAAGAACAACACCACCACAAACTTTCCTCCTCGTCCTCGTGACTCTCACTGCGTCCATTGTCGATTCAGAAAATGCTTGTCCGTAGCAGAAACTTTTCACCATTGTCTGTGACAGCCTCATCAGGTTCCTCCTCGCATCTACAGAGGGTATCACTGAAGACAAAACGCACACACAGTAAAACAAAAAGAAAACGAATTCACATCGATTGTGGAAGTTTTAGGTTTACTTGTGGAACAAGTTATATACCTCCAAGGTCGGTGATGTCTGTAGCCATGAGACTAGCCATCCTCTCACACTGTCTCTTCAACACAGATAACCACCGTTCAGCGCCAAAGGCCACACCACTCCTCACATACTCTCTAACCACCTCGTGCAGCACGTGCTTCTCCTCCACTTCCACGTGCTCTACCCACGTGACCTGAGAGTATCCGTTAGGTATGTCTTGAATGATGCAACCAGAAGGCTTTCTCCGGTATTGATCAGTGGCGGCAGTAGCGGAAGCTTTTTTGATCGGAAAATCAACAATCATCCATTTACTTTCTTCTGCCTTTTGCTCTGCATACCGAAGAAAGTAACCTTCTCTTGTTGGCACCATTGGAGAGAGTCCTTGTAACTCTGCATACATCAGAAGAAGAGAACCACTTGCTCCAGAAACTCCAGAAGAAATGATCTGAATCGTTTTGGCTCTTGACACTATTGGACAGAACATCTCCGACCATTTGTCCTTCAAGAAAAATTTCAACACGTTTTATGTTAAACTGTGAGCTTTTAAAAAAATGTGATTCAAAATTCCAGATTCAAGAACACTTTCTTCTTACAGCGTCAAGGAATGTGTTGACGAGGGTGATGCTATTCATGAGGACAACTTCGTTAGCTCTTGAAGCTTCTCTGCGAAAACGACCATCATCCATTGGAGGCCATTGAAACATCTTCTTGTACTCTTCCTCGTTCAGAGACACACTCATCTTCTTATTCCACAACGGCTCAATTGTCTCACACATCTTTTCCAATTCTTGAACACAAGAAACCGCAAGATCCATCGCAGCCGCCTTTTCTTCCTCAGAAATCAATGTAACATTGTTGTTATCAGTCTCCGAGAAGTAAAAGGAAGTGTCTTGTGGAGAAGGAGGAGAGTCAAACAACGAAGCAATGCTGCGTAACAGATCAAGCTGCAGGAGATGATAATAGCCGTTTGATTTAGTAGTCAAAGAAACATTAACGGTTAGGATTCATTCTTTCGAAATATGTCAAATATATATACCTCTTGCCGGAGGCGGGAGTTTTCAAGGCGGAGTTTGTCACTGGAGCCATCACAAGAAGAGCATATTGGATTAGACCGAAGATTGTAATTCTCCATCTTAAGACTATGGTTCTCTGCTTTTAGCATTTCATTCTCTCTTCTTTGTTCTTGTGCCTGTTAATCTCAGCATTTAACAACAATTAAAATTATGTTTTAACCGATTTTTAAACAATAAAAGAAACGTGAAGAGTGATTTGTTTGATCAATAAATAAAAGTGAAATTACCTTAATTTGGGTGCGTTTATTTTGAAACCAAAACTTGATTTGTTCAGGGTCAAGACCAAGTTCTTGACTTAATCTCATTTTTTGTTCGCCATTTGGAAGAGGATTTTTAGGGGTTGACTGGTAGACCCATTACTATTTCTAAACACAGTTTTTTGCGGTCAGTAGCGAGTGTTAGCATTTGAAAATAATTACCCTAAAGATTTTCTACCACTTTAAATCGTTTCAGATTTTTTAATATCAAAAGCTCATTTCCATAAGAATGTAAATTATTTAAAATCAAAAAAATATATATGATTATAAAAAATAAGATTTAAATATTATAATCACAAAAGAAATATTTTTTATTATCTTTTTTTATACTCACTCTTCTTTTTAAATAATTGATGTTTTATGAGATTATTTTTTGTTCACAAAAATTGGTGTTGGCACATTTTAATGTATAAATTAATTATATTTTGTTTTTTTTACTATTTGAATTATGTATATTGAAATTTTAAATTGTTTTGAAATTGATGATCAAACATGTTTTATTTTGAAAAACAGAAAAAGTTAATAATTTTTTTAACTATGGGCAAACATTTAAAATACCACTTATTCAAGAAGAGAGAGAGTCTAAGATATCTAAACCAAAGTTCTCTTCATAATACTTTTTTCCTTACTATTAATACATATTCCCACTGTTTTTTTTTTAGGTCTTTGCATACTGATTAAAAAAAGTATTTATTTTTCTATTTTTCCAAATAAAACATGTTTTATCATCAGTTCCAAGATAATTCAATCAGTAAAATTTCAATCTCTTGAATTCAAATATCAAAACAACAAATAAATTAATTTTTGTATTGAGATGTATAAATACCACTTATTTGTGAACAAAAAAACTCATAAAACAACACATATTAGAGAACGGATTGAATACATATTTAACAGTTAATATTTTCTTAATGTAAAATGGTTTCTTAATAGAAATCACAACTTTCATCCAAACTATAAAAATTAAAAAAGAAACATAAAAATATACACACATTATTTTTTTAGATTTTTATTATTAATTATGTTGAATTAATAACATTCACAAAGGAAAAACTGAGTATTTGTTTATAAACAATCTTATACTCCGTCAATTACCGTCGTTAAATCGAAGTTGATTAAACATATATATGTTTTCTTTATCTCTAAAAGTAGTCGTTGATTATTTGCTAGAATACTCAGAAGAAAAAAAAGACAAAGTTATGATGGAGCAAATAAATAAAAAATTGAGTTTAATTGGTTGAAAAGCATTGATTTCCAAGGATAATAGTTTAGCATATTATGTTTATTGGATTGTTGTTCATCTAGTTTTTGATAAAAGACATATGGATGGAACCTTATAACGTGGTAGTGTTTTTCAACTCTCAAAATTTTATAATTTTTTATAATAATATAATTTTGATTTTTTAATAATAATATAATGTATTTATATTGTTAACTTACATGTTGAAAAAATAGAATACCAATGAATATATCGAAGAAGCTGATTTCTCCATTTGTTATTAATAATACTCTTATGTAGTAGTACAAAAAGAAATGATGGTACAAGTAATTAAGTAATTTTAAAAACAGTAGAAAATGTCAGTGAAAATAAATCAAATTCATGATGTCTTTGAAATAGTGTGAGTTTATTTTTTTCTTTTGGCTAAAATTATTATTATATTTTGTTGCCAATAATTATATGTTTATAACTAACAAGAAATATTTAACATATCACTGAAAATGGTTAAAATACAAAACATAATTTTCTTTTGTTAGTTATGTTCAATTTTGTTTGAATGGTTAATTTTAATGGTAAAATGACAATATTTTTAGACATTATTTTAATTTTAAAATTTAATCGATTTCTGTTTTATTTAAAAATATACTATTTGTATTGTTATAATTTTACCAATTGGAATTTAAATATGTACTATCATTTTGAACTATCTATATTTGTACTGTTATGTTTAGTATATTACTATTTTTCTTACTGTTATCTTATCGTACCATTGAAAATTCTATAATACACTATTATTCACTATATCACCAATCAAAGTCATTGTATTTATTAGACCTTTTTAATCTGTTGAGATGATCTTGAGTTGGTGGTATATATTTAGGGCTAATTATAACAAGAAAACAAAATATTGTTTTTGTTCCGCTACTACCGTGGAATTGTATGCTATGGTTTTCACTTTAGTTAACATGTTTTGGACTTTTGCTAATGTGTTTTTTTCTTGTCAATATCTTCTTCTTTTTTCTAGCTTAATACTTCAATCCTACTTTGAAGGTGTAATTCCTTGTATTTAGCCATTTGGGAAAGAGTAAACTAGATTCCTCTAGTTTTTTCAACAATCAAACTGAAAACAATAGGAACAAAAATTCTCTAATAAGTTTCTTCTGAAAAAGAGTTTTTCCTCTCAAGTATGAGGAGGTAACAAATTTCCTCCAATTTTCATTTTTGCTTTGCTCAAAAAAAATTTCAACTTTGTATATTGGCTAGAAAACAAAAATCGATTGGTGGTTCGGTTCAATTTAGCATACGCACAGTTGAAATACCCAACTAGTTATGCAGAATGGAGAAACTATAAATGAAAAACAAGGACAAAATTGTTTTCTTTCCAGGCCTAATTACCAAACCGACCATGAATCCAATGTTACAAGAACACAAAGTCTTCGTCCTAAAATAACAAGGTCCATCTTCATTTTCAACAATCCAAGAGAGATTAGTTCCAAGTATTACCGTTTCCAACAAGAATCAGAAAGGTCTTTTACTTGTCTGCATAATCTCAAGGCTGAGCCGGAGCCACAGGTGGAGGAGACTGTTGCTGCTGCTGCTGCGGCTGTGGCTCATGATGTTCAGATTCTTTCTTCGCTTCAGGAGATTCAGAGGGTTTCGATTCATGTTCGTCTTCTTGCTTTGACGATACCGCCTTTGGTGATTCAGATTCAGACAAGTGGACTCTAGCAAACTCATCAACCACTTTCCTCTTGTCTTCTTCCTCAGCCATACCAACTTTCTCTTTCGCCTTCTGTCCGACTTCTTCCGCAGCTTTAGCCACTTTGTTGTAAGCTCCAGTGACCCAAGTGGTTCCCGTGAGAACGTACCGGTTCTTCATGATAGCCGAACCCGCGTTGCTCACCGTCTGCTCCGCTGCAGCGATCGCTGACTTGGTTTTCTCCGAGACTTGGTACTTCTGGTCAACTTCCCTGACTTTCTCTCCCACGACGATTGTTCCGGTGTTGATCTTGTCCGTGAAACCGATCTTCTTGTCGAGAGATGCGACTTTGGCTGATGCTGTGGATGTGAGCTGGTGTTTCTCGTCAACACTCTTGGCTTTGGCTATGGCATCTTTTCCCAGAATGAATCCCTTTGCTAGCATGCTGCTCACAACATCTTCTGCTTTCCTCAACACGGATTCATTCGCCCTGGGAGATTTGCTGCTGTCCTTTGGCTCCTACCAAGAGATGAAATTGTAAGAATTTGGCTTGTGAAAGATAATCTCAAGAGAGAATGATGGAGTAAAGAGCTTACCAAGGAAGCTAAAGCTTCAGGAGATAGTTGGTACTCCGGGGCCATACTGACGATGACGGAAGAATCAACAATGGTTGCTCCCTGAAAGAAATGCACTAATACTCATCATCACTCAAAGAATGTTAACAACACAGAAGCAAAAACTAATACAGGGCTGACAAGTGAAAATTACCGAGAGGAGAACGGCTGTCTCAGCTCCTTGTAAATCCTTGAACGTCACATACGCCAGTTTGGTACGTTCTGTCTCGCTGTACCAATGTGATAATAACAGAGTTAGAACCTGAACAAGTCAGAGTTTAATAAACAGTAGAGACGAAAGCAAACCTCTGTGTCTCGAGGTACAGAATGTCGCCAGAAAAGGAAAAGAACTCCTTGAGGTCTTGCTCGGTCGCTCCTAGAGAGACATTGCTCACTTTGACACTTGTCATCTGCAACTAAAAAAGACAATCTCGTGAGACTTGCTTGATAAAATGGTTTCTCTGACATTTTCAACAACTAAAATCACATCTCAGACTCAAATCTTTAGTTGGTTGATTCCACGTTTCATGACTATACACAATCCTGAAGCAACCAAACTGACCTCTTACACATTTTACCCAACAAAAACAATGGTACAAAGATCAGACTCGCAATGCAGTGCATTATCAATACACGATGATAAAAAGAAAACAAAAGGCTAATCCTTTGGCACAAATCAGATTTTAGAGATTACAGAACGAAACGAAACAAATGCTCTAATTGGGTATTCGAATCTGAACAAAACATTTTGACCTGCAAATAGTATTGATCTCGGAAACAGTATTATCCTCCCAAAATCAAAAACGGAAGAGAAGCTTCAAATTTCTGTAAATCAAACAATCAAATCCAAAAACGAGCGCCATTTCGCACAAATCTTACAGCATAACAATCCTAACCAACAGATCTGTCCACATATTTCCTCAATCAAATCAACAGCAGCGAAAAACATCCATCTTCTCAGCGTAAATCGAAAATCAAAGCCAAGTGTTTTCAGAGATGATAAAAACTTACCGACATGGCGAAAATCGCTTGACGCGGGATTTGAAACGGAAGTTAAATTTTCTTCTTCTCTTTTTCCACCTGACGGACAAATTTGAAACGAAAAAGAAAAATCTTTGGTTGCGGATTTGCTGTGAGGAGAGAAAAAGTGGACCCCATTTTAAACACCTCGGAAAACGGAAGAGTGGTATTCGGATTGGCACGTGCTATGGTCGGGATGCATTTTTCTCACCGGCAACTTCTCACGTGCCAGGGGTAAAACCGTCCGTCAGAAATTTTAAAATTGCCTTTGATGATAATTAGATTCGCTCGAAATCTCGAATATATTATTATATAAAGCTGGATGCGCGCGACGTGGTTGCGACACGTAGGATTTTTATAAAATATAGATCGTGACACTTTTAATGTTAAGACCGTTAAGATCGTGACACATGTTTTAAAAAAAAATTTTTATTTATTTTACTTAAATATTAGAAAAACGAAAATTAAAAAAAAAAAATTTTAACATATAACATTAAATATATATATATAATTATAAATAGATAACATTAAATTTTTACATTTTTTAAAAACAGGAAAACACAATTCAAGAAAAATAGGAAACAAATAGCAATTTTTTTAAAAAATGTTATATCCATCAAGAAAAGGAAAAAAACATACTCCCAATACGAAAAGGAAAAATAATCGATATTCAGAAAAACATGAAACAAATAATAAAAGAAAAAATGTTACATCCGTTAAGAAAAGGAGAAAAAACATATTCCCATTAAGAAAAGGAAAAAAAAACAATATATAATAAGTTATAGCTTTCATGATTTATATCTGTGATTCTATCTTTTGTTTAAACTTTCTCTTTTATTACAAAATAAAAATCATGTACTTTAAAGTTCAAGATATCAATGAAAATATTTAACTTTAGATAAGTTGGGTAGAAATTGAAAATTTTGTCGCAAATTTTTTCTAATATATGATCATGTGATAACATGTGTTAACAAAAGAAAATTAGAAAAATGTAATAAGATAAATAAAAAAACTAACAAAATAATTTTAAAACAACTAACTAATTATGAATAAGAAAATTTATAATGGTCTGAGGCAAAACAAAATTGAACAAAAAATTATGATAAATAGAAAATTAACAAAATAATTATAACATAATAAGATATATCTAAATAGATTAATTTTCTATTTTTTGGTAGGTAAAACAATATTATGAAAAAGATTTCATCAATCGAAATCTTTTAAATAGAATAATCAATTATAATTAAATATTATAATTATAATAATCAAAATAATCTTTTGAATATTATTCTACTTACTTTTAAAAGTGACCAGATTTTTGTTTAGTATTTTCCTATGATTTATTTCAATTATATTAAAATAAACCCGCGTATACGCGGGGCTTAATCTAGTACGTAAATAAAAACAAAAACAAAACACGAAAAAATCAACAGTTTAATTATCCTTTTTATTATTTTGGAAATTCTTCTACTCTTTGACCCTTTTAATGCACGTAAAGGTCTATAGAGATTTTAATTCATTAAATTCTGGACTAAGACATAAAATAGAACACACACACACAGTATAGTATTGATCAAATCATCATAATCTTAGATCTGTTCTAAATTTTAAAAACTAGTCGTAAAATTATTTCGTTGGTTTAAAAGTTTAAAATCATCCAAAGACGTGACAAAATCACTTTCTTCACCAATGTCTACCGTACACGTGTCTTTGAGCTGAGAGTAGCTTTCACATCGTAAGACTTATTCGAGCTATGTCATGATTATATTCTTATGAATTATGATCTTATCAATCATCATACACCACATTTTCCGCATCTTACATTTAGATCCTCAGAGGGATATACATTTAAGATTCTAAAACTATCTGGTCACTTTTAGAATTATATAGAAAATAAGAGAAAAAGAGAAGAAGCTTTTTATCATTTCATACAGGTAATGTGACGTTTCACGTTTTTCCTCTCTCTCTCTCCGCGATTCACGTTTACTCAATCTGTCGGAGAGAGAGAATCTGAAATCACTGTTCCTCTCTCCATCTCCGTTATCGTTAGATCGAATTTTGACTTTCTGGGGATAAAAAGGAGAAGACTTCGGTGAGTATTTCGAGGCAAGTTTGTGGATTACAGAGAGAGAGAGAGAGAGATGAGTTTTCAGGATTTGGAGGCGGGAAGAGGAAGATCGTTAGCTTCTTCAAGGACAAGGAACAACGTCAATGGAGGTCGACAAGACACGACGCAAGCAGTAGCTTCCGGTATATTTCAGATCAACACGAGCGTCTCCACTTTCCAACGCCTCGTCAACACTCTCGGCACTCCCAAAGACACGCCGGAGCTCCGGGAGAAGCTGTAAGTTGTTAAAAATCATCTCTTTTTTACATTGCTTCTAATTCAGGAGTTGCAAATGTTTCAATTGCGTCAATTATGTGTTCTTTTAGGCACAAGACGAGACTATATATCGGGCAATTAGTGAAAGACACATCAGCTAATCTTAAAGAAGTTAGTGAAAATGATCATCAAAGAGGCGTAAACGTGAGTGATTTTAATTGAAAACCAAATAAAGGAAGATTCTTGTTCTTGTTCTTCTTCTTGTTCTGCTTGACTGCTTCATCTGTTGACTTGTGAATTTTGATGGTTTGTTTTGTGTTAGCCAAAGAAGAAGATAGTTGATGCTAAGCTTGCAAAGGACTTTCAAGCTGTACTGAAAGAGTTTCAAAAGGCTCAGCGTCTCGCTGCTGAAAGGGAAACCGTATATGCTCCTCTTGTGACCAAACCATCTAGGTAAATATGCTCATTGAACAATGGCTTTGTGTGATTATTTTGTGGGTTTTGTATTTTGATTACTTGAGTTCTTGGGTTTGGTATTGTACTAATGTAGCTATACAGCGAGTGAGGTAGATGTGAGTGCAGATAAGCATCCAGAGCAGCGTGCGCTTCTTGTGGAATCCAAAAGGTTAAGTTTTTACCACACAAAAGTCGAGACTTCTTGTTTTTTTACTACTCATCTAATTGGTTTGTTGTTCTTCTTGTTGCAGACAAGAGCTTGTATTGTTGGACAATGAGATTGCGTTCAACGAGGCTATAATCGAGGAAAGAGAGCAAGGGATACAAGAAATCCAGCATCAAATTGGTGAGGTGCATGAAATCTTCAAAGACTTGGCTGTGTTGGTACACGATCAAGGCACCATGATTGGTAAAAACTGATTCTAATAAAACTCTCTCTCTCTCTGGTGTCCTTGTATTCTCAATCTTAACACATGTTTCTGTTTACGTAGATGATATTGGTACTCACATTGATAACTCCCACGCTGCAACTGCACAAGGAAAATCCCATCTCGCAAAAGCATCAAAGACACAAAAATCGAATTCTTCTCTGGTAAAGCTTTTGATCATATTGCGAATTTGGTTTTAAGGATTTAGGATGATTATTGTTAACTTCTTCTTGCCATTGTTTTTTTTGTTTTTCTTGCAGACGTGCCTGCTCTTGGTGATATTTGGTATTGTGCTCCTGATTGTTATTATAGTGCTTGGGGTTTGATCTTACTGAACTCATAAAAGCAGGGACAAGTGCTTCATCAACAATCAAGAAAACATCAATGAGTGTATGTCTGTTACTTCACGGCTCTTTCTTGTTCTCTTTCTTAACTTCTTGTTATCGAGTATGTAGAGTAGTTTGGTGTGGGTTTCAGTTTGCTTTGTGGGCGTCTGAGTGTTGGTTTTATAAGAGAGAGTGTGGTTGCTTTGTCTCTGTAATATACTTTGTTCCAGACCAAGAGTTGATGTGAAAAGGAAATCCTCTGTTTGTGTTCTTTAAATTGAACAAAGTATGAACAAATCCTCTGTTTGTGATCATGAAGCTATGTGAAACTTTAAAAGAATACAAGTCGGTGAATTTTACTCGGAACAAAGTATGAACAAATCAAAGTCATCTTGAAAAAAGCAGGCCTTGATTGAGATAACAAGCAGCTGTAGGATCCTTGAGGCATCTACAAAAAGCCTCTTCGTCTTTCGGAAACGACTTTGGCAACGGATGATCAGGAGTAACACCGACCTATTAGAAAAACAGAAGGTAAGAACATGTATGCAGTGTAGTGTGTAGACACAGAGGCTGTAACTACAGGACATCAAAATATGTGCAAGAAAGTAGTTTCAGACTTTGTCTATATCCGTGTGAGCTGGTGTCTCATATCGAGCAACTGTTACTGCCAAGCCCGAACCATCAGAGAGCTGGAACACTGACTGTATCTTACTGCAAAATTTGTAGAAAGTCTCAACAATGTTACAAAGTCTCCGTCTTTGAGAGGAAGAATGAATCAAAAATCATGCCTTTTTGTTTACCCTTTTCCATAAGTTGGTTCTCCATAAACCAGAGCACGTTTGTTGTCTTTCAAGGCGCCTGCTAATATCTCGCTGGCACTCGCGGTGCCTTTGTTAACCTGGAAAAGAGACGAATGATTGTGTGAGAGCTAAATACTCCATTGGCATTTACATCAAGAAGATAGATTGATTTGACGAAACGAAGGAAAGGAAGCTTATACAAGAACAGCAAGAGGCTCAGAGGTTGCTATAGCATTGCTTCCATCAGTATCATATATATCTCTAACACCTCTGCTATCGCATATATAAACAATCACTCCTTTATCTAACCTGTGGATACCGCACAAAAGGTTATATTATGAGAGTTTGTGGATCTTGAAATATTTCTGACTCTTTGGATGAATTGATTTATGAGGTTTTACCAAAATTTAGCAATCTCAATTCCTTCTGGGAAAGAACCGCCGCTGCAGCAAAACAAATTTCCAAGTGTTCAAGAGAAGGCTGTTGCAGAAACAAAAGAAAAAAAGGAGTTTTGGTTTTTAATACAATCATCACCTATTGTCTCGAAGATCCAAGACGAAGGCATTTACATTATTGCCTCTCAATGTCTCAATTGCTTCCTTCACCGCACCTGCAAAAAGAAAGTGCACAACTTTGAGAGGTAATAAACCAAGAAAGTAGACAGAATTTGTAAGAAAACGTCAAAAGAATGTATACCAGAAGCATTTTGATTGAATGTTGTTAGCTTGATATAACCAATCTTAGGTGAATTACTCCCAGAACCAGGAATCTCACATAACCTTGACTTCACCGGATTCACAGAAACCCTCTCTCGCCTGAAATAACCATAACTCAGAGTGGCTTAACGAACATGAACACTAAGCAATGTAGGGGATGAGAACAAATCATACGTCAAAGATAAGAATCTCGTTTCAGGTCCACTACGAATCGCTAGCTCCACTGTACTTCCTTCAGGCCCCCTGCATTTGATCATCAGGTTGAATCAATTTCTCTCTAAGAGCTGAAGGAAAGGCTAAAGTGGAAATGTGTCTCACTGCAACATCTGTGCAGCGTCGTAAATGGTCAGAGTTTCTGTGGTTGTATTATCAATTCCTAAGATAACATCGCCAGGTGAAACTCCGGCTCTATTTGCAGGACCTCCTGGAGCAGCTGATATCACGACAAGCCCGGCCTGTGATCCATCTGATCCTGCAGGGTAACCTATCGACAGCCCGACACCTGTCACCGCCCCTTGAGTTCCAGACTGCCTTCAACCAAAACATTTAAACTACATCTTACATACATACAATCAATCTACTTGCTAGATTCAGAACTAATTTCAGGATTTTCTTACCCTCAAACTCTGAAACTTCCCTGGCTCCAAGAACCGTGTAAAAGGATCATCCAATGTTGCAATCATCTTCTTGATAGCCATGTCTACGCACAAACAAAAACACCAAAACTCAGAAGCAGCTAGTACTAAAGTGTAAAATGGTTAAAGCTTTCAGAGGCAAATTGTAAAAAGGTTAAAGCTTTGTTGCAGATTTTACAACATACATGTCTCTTCTCGAGTGTTCATAGGCTCATTTCGTAGAGCAGTCTCTCTGTAACGAAACCAGCTTTGTCCATTGAAGGTCTTATCTATATACGCACGATCAATTGTTCTCCAAGCTTCTAAGAAGAGAAGATTCTCTTCACTAAGACCCCCTAGGGATGAAAAAAAAACGAAATCAAATTGCAAATCTTCCAAGTTTTGACATGGTTTCTTCAATTTGTGTAAAAAGAACCAAACTTACATGATGGTGAATCAGTGGTAACAACGGAAATGGAGGAGACGAGAAGAACAGAAACTAGCCGAACTAATGCGACGGAGACTTTCTTTCTGAAATTCACTGAAGATTTCACCATCACCTTCCTATGATCATTTCTTTCGACAAGACACAGAAATCTGTTGCAGACGAACACGAGTCCTGGGTTTGCATTGCTGTTTGGTTTGTTACTTCGATTTCGAGCATATCTAAAGTTGCAAGCTTTCGAAATCTTTGGAGGCTGAGATACCCACAGTTTCACCTGAAGAGATTGAAATCGATTACAGCTAAAAGGGAAATTCAGGAGAGAAATTTGAATAAAAGAGTTAAATTTGCGCAGGAATAAGTACCTGGATTGAGAAATTAGGGTTTATTTTGTTGTGCTTAGTAAAAAAAATTGGGGATAATGAAGAACTCGCAAGGACCTCCATTGAAATGAGCTTCCCCGGGAAATTCCAACTCTGTTTTCTTATCGATAAATGATAAAAATATCAACTTTTTTTTAAAGCAAAAAATAAACTCTTCTATTTCTGCTCAAAGTTTACTAGTACTGTACTTTTTAAGTTTTAATACAAAAGGGACTTTGAATAAAATTTCTCGTCCTAAAACATAAAAGTTAGTAAAAAAGACTATACAAAATGTGACACTAAACATATATAATCCTTTACAATTGCTCTGTCTCTGATGTAAGAAGACCCAACTCCTCTATAAGCTTATCCATACGACCACCATTAGTGTCGCTGCTCTCTAGTGTTGTTTCATCTCCAAGAACCGGACTTTGTGCCAGATACTCTTCAAACAAATCACAGTTACTCATCAGCTCATCAATGTCCGGATCTTGAGGTATTCCCTCGAGCTCAACCGGAACTGAACCACCGTCAAGAAACGGGCTCGGAGAGATGAATGCCTCTGAAACATCATCCTTCTCTGTTTCCATGTAGTTCTCTCTAGGGAAGTCATTGATATTGCTCTCTTGTGTCAACTGTGGCATTACCGTATCAGGCAAGAGAGGCTGTTCCAATGCTACCTCTTGCAGAGTGACTCCTGATACACGGTTTGGCGATGAGAACCCATCAAGAAACGGAAAGTTATCATCTGTTTTCATCATGTTCCAGTCGTTTCTAAGTGGCTGATACTTAACAATCTGTCCATTCTCATCAGCAGCAGAGGTAGTAGCAGCATCAGCGTCCTCTCTGAGCCTCCGCTTCTTGTTAGCCTCAGTTACATGCATATTACCATCGGTCTGCTTCTGTATAAACTGAGAGAGGAAAGTTGGATTCTGCACAGCTTTAGCGAGGAAAGACATGATCTGTTGCTGCCTCTGCTCCATGACCTGAAGACTTTTCACCATACCCTGAAGCTTGCCGTCTGTTGATTGCTGCTGCTGGCGTAGCTTGACGAGCTCTTGCATCAGCACGTTTTTGTCTCTTTTAAGCTGCTCGACCTCTTCCTCGAGCCCGAATTTCCCAACCTCCACACATGAAGATAACATTGAGCCTTGACTTTGAGATAACTGATGGGGTTGGGATTGTGGATTACTGCTACTACTACTTCCATGTCCCTGTGCAGATTTTCTCCGGCTTATAGTCTTCAAGAGATGTTTTTGGCCTCTTAAGAAACCTTCGTTTGCGAATTCCCAACGATCTGGATCCACTTTCCTGAATCCCTGTTCATCAAATTGGCCCAGAATCAGAACATAGCTTAAATTCCAAGACTATTGTTCTCCGATTAGTGAATCTTATCAGAGAGAATCAATGGCGATAACTAGAATGTGGTGGAAATTAGGGGAAGGGTTTTTTAGGGGATTTGGTTACTTACATAGGTATTCAACTGACGAACGAAGCTGGAGAAATTGTTGTGTTTGAAGTATTTGGGAAGAAGGGAACGGGAAAACTCTGGCGGATCCCAGACGACGAAGCTATTGTTCGCCGGACCCCAGGAGACGATCGCGTCCGTCGCCGGATCTTCCACCATGTCATACGTCTTGCTGAGGAAAGGAGGCGGTAAAGCGTTCCCGCTAAGCAACGTCGCTGGGTGAGGATTCCGCGGCGGCGGCGGCGTCGTCGTCACAGCCTCGCCGGTTTTTGATTCTCCGCCGGTGTCACCGTCCATTTTCGTAACGGATAGAGAGAGTAAACGAAAAAAAGGTAGCGAGATAAAAAAGAGGGTGAAAATGACTTCGAAAGTACAAAACTACCCTTTTATTTTATTTTCTGTGATGGCGCGACAGGATACGTGTCATTATCATCTAGTGGGCTTTTATATTAGTTCTTTATATTATTTGTGTGGGTCAAAAAGGTTGCGTTTACAAAGAAATGGGCCTTAGCTATGATTGGAATAATTGAAGGTGGTTGAAGACAAGACACTGATTTACTAGAACAAAATGGAAGAATCCAAGCATATTCTTCTTGGTAATTTTTAAAAATAAAATTTACAAGTTTCACACTTTCACTCTCTCTTCTAAAAAATAGGTTGCCTACTTGATTAAGCGGCTGATTAATTGCTACACAGAGATAACCGTGGCGATTTTATAAAATCAAAGTTGGACCCAATCTTATTCTTTTGCTCAGCAACGTCCAAAATTGTGCCAAGTAAAGTCGCAAATTCGGCCTATATCATCACAAGTATATTTTCTCTTTCCCAACAAATTATATTGGAAATTTTTGTTATAAACTCACATCCTAACTACGATTTTAGTGAAATCAGTCCCAAATCAACAAAAAAATTAAGCTTAAATCACAGTGTTTTGAGATCTTCTACCAACATCATTAGTTTGCTGAAGTGAATTCGAAGTAATTATATCTCAAATATGTGATTTTCATATTAATGTATTATCTTATAAATAAAAATGTTGGATAAACTATAAAATTGTATTAAAAATGAGTACTTTCCAATTTTCGAAAAATCGCTAAGCCAGGACCAACTATCCGATCAACACCGAGAAAATTTTCAAACACAGCTTTCACTTGTGACAAATTTTATTCTTTAACCAAACCGTTTCTTATTGACCGACCATTGCCAAAACTTTTAAACATCCGTTTTACTCTAATCGTTTTTGTTTTACCGATATTTTTCGTAATCATAAAGTTCATAACCGCGAAAAACCCTTTTGACGGGAAAGCGAAGGGCCCAATAAGCCCATTAGACTAATAATTCTTTGGCGGGAAAGCGGAGGAAGGAGAAGCGAGGGAAACAAATCAAAGAGAGAGAGAGAGAGAGAGATGAGCTCGTCGCCGGCGATTGAACCATACACGCTGGACCTAGTTTGCCAGCTCGATAATGTTCAAGGCATGGTCGACGCCCTCGCTTGCGTCCGATGGAAACGCCAACAGGTCTTTTCTCCAATCCCTCCCAAAAAACCCATCTTAGGGTTTATCATTTCCGTCGATCTCCACTGATTTTCCCGAGAAAATCGCGATTCTCCGTTTATCCAGGATGCTTTAGTCGAGTTATCCGAACACGGAATCGTTCTGATCGTGGAGGAATCAGGCTGTCTTCAAGCCAAGGTTTATCTTCAGCGCGAGGTATCGATTTCCGAAACCATTTCCCCAAAATTTTGATTCACGAATCCGAAATTGGAATCTCATTGTTTAAATCTGTGAGAAGCTGTTCACGAAATACGAGTACGGAGCTGAAGGAAGGCCGAAATTCGGAATCAGCTTAGGCCTTCTCGTCGATTGCTTGAACACATTCTCATCACCTGGACATTCAAACACCATCGAAATCAAATATCCAGGCCCTGACATGGAGCTTCTTCTCAAGTATGATGAACAATCAATCAATCATCCTCTGCCTTTGATTCCAATTCATTGATTGCTGATTTTGTGTGTGTGCTTTGATTTAGATCTGTTGATACACTAAACTCATGCATCTACTCTGAGATAAGAACAAGAATCCCAGAGACCAACGCGTGGGACTATAACTTCGAGCAGGCAGGAACCGCGCCACTTACTTTTACCGTAAAGGTAAAAAACCATAGTTCATAGTAAATATATTTGATATATAATCAGAGCTTTCTCAAATGGTTGTGTGTATTGATAATGTATCTATCAGTCATCAGCGTTGAAAGAAGCAATAGATGATCTTGAATGGCCTGGCTCGATTTTACAGATCAGTCTTCAAAAGTCTCCTCCTTGTGTTACCTTTAGAGGAGAAGGTCACGGAGACCTACAGGTTCTTGTTTGTTTTCTTGCTCATGTATATATCGTCTTTCTTTCATTGAATCAAGTCCATCACATTCTCTTTTGCAGATAGATTTCATGTATTATGCCAACACTGATCTCCTCCTTGCCTTTCATTGTGATACCGACGTCTCTTACGGGTAAGCCATTTAGGCTATTTCCTCAAACCAAGTGAAAACAATCCTTAGCTCTTGTTTGATTTGTAGGTACAAGTACAAGTTTTTGAAGGCAACAACGGCGAATATTCCGGGGAACGTGGTGAGGGAAAACAGAGGAAGCAAACTGACGATAGGAAGAGGAGGAATGTTGAAAGTTCAACACTTGGTTTCGGTTGCTAAAGCTATAGCTCCACAGGTGGAATCTGCAGGGTATCAGCCGCCGAGTCGGATTGCTTACATAGAGTTCTTTGTCAAGCCTGAAGAACCTGCTGATGATTAGTTGATACTTGATAAATCTCTCCTTCTTTTAACTTCTCTATGTAGTAGTATGCTTGTTCTTCAATAAGTAAGTACCTCGAAGTTTGTTTGAAGGCTTGCATAGAACACGAGAGTGCGTGTTGTTTTCACAAGATTAGCTCAGATGTCTCGCCGTTTAAATTTATAAAGCTGAATGTTGAGACATGCATGCTGTTTCGGTGTTTCTGACAATGCTCTCGTGCCCGTGGAATTGTGAAGCAATTCAAAGTTTGTTTAATGTTTTCACTAGATTAGCTCACATGTCTCGCCGTTTAAGTTTATAAAGCTGAATGTTGAGACATGCATTGCCGTTTCGTTGTTTAAGACAACCACATCGTGCCGGTGAAATTGCAAAGAAAACGAGACTGTGTTTTCAGTTTCACTAGATTAGCTCAGATCGATGTCTAGCCGTTTAAATTTATAAAGCTGAATGTAACATGCATGCCGTTTCGTTGTTTTAGACAATGACATCGTGCCGGTGGAGTATTGAAGCAGCTAAAAAAGTACCCGGTTTGAATTTCGGGGTTTTTGAACCCGACGTGAATCGAACACGCAACCTTCTGATCTGGAGTCAGACGCGCTACCATTGCGCCACGGATCCGGATGACTTTGTTACGTATTTTACTATTATAACCAAATATTACGAATTGTTGATAATTTTGCTATTACAATATACTTTTTGCAATTAAAATCTACTTAATTTGATATCTGATTATGGTTTCTGAGCATATCTGACTCTGCGATGGGTTGGTGTTGGTTGGATCGACTAAACAAAAAATTTCAAGTGTACTTAGACTTGACACGTGGTACTAATACAAACGTCCAAGTAGCTTTCTCCTTATTTCAAAGGTGGTTGGACTTATTTCTCATGATTATTATGTCACGCTCAAAAGAGAAAATAAACTACTACTCAAGGCAAAAATAAAAATTCTTCCAATACATTTTTAGTAAACCATATGATTAGCGTTATTCTTTTCTTCTGATAACATAATTACGGTTGTTAAAATAAGAGTTTGGCTGATGATTTTATAGTAAAGTTAGCTTTCGTGTGTGTTCTTAATCATATTTTGTAACGAAAAATTAACAGTGATGTTGAAATGATAATCATACATTTACCACCATTACTGGGAATAGTTTATGCTACATATATATGCATTTTTTTGTTTAACATCCTTTCATTAATTAATATATATGCATTCAAAACAATAATTAAATGAATCGACAAGAACTCACAGATACATATATAGCCGCAAATGCCATGTATGTGTATGTTGTGCGCCTATCGCAGCATTATATAGTGGGGACGTGTTACCAATTGTACTGTCATTTAATGATGGTCTTGACCCTTATGTGGACCAAATCATGATACACGCATACATTAATGCTGCTTGTATATGTGTATATAATAATAATTACGTCTATGTCGCACACGCACACCCACACATATAGACGGTGGGAATTTAGCGAATGATATGCTCATAATTTGTGTATACTATACGTATTCTATATAAAAAAGTGTATACTATACGTATATTATTTCATTTTTCTATGTATCAATACGTGTGAATATATATATATAAACCTAATATACATGTATTGTCAGTATTGACAACAAAAACATAAGAGAGTATTAAAATCATTGAGATTTGAAAGGGATCTCTCCTCTTTGATGAACTATAGTCTAACTACCCTATTAAATTATATAAAAGATATTAATAGAATATTGGCAATTTGCCCCAATTTGATAATCTAATCATATATACTTTGTCGGGTTGATAATCTGAAAGGACATTATGAAGAATATAAAATTGCATTTTATATAATAAGATATAAAACAAATCATTATTTTTTTTTGGTAATCAAAACAAATCATTCTTTTAGACTCTTGACAACCAATAAAAGATGAATAGTTAATTGAATAGAGAAATGTATTGTATTCTTCAAAATATATGCTCAATCCATGAAGGATAAGTAGAAACGGTATTGTTTCGTCCTGATCTTACGTATTGCTGCTACCGGTTGGTGAACTTACTGTCTCGTTCCCGACCCGTCGTCTCTCGTTCTCGATTCATGAATATGAGAATACAATATTTTGTATTCTGATTGGGGACATGCATGGAAGTAAGGGACATAAATTTACGATGTCTAATTTGGGACAATATAAAATATGATAACTATTTAAGAATTAAAAAAAAATAGTTTGTCTAAGTTTTTCAAATCTTGTAATGGATCAAGTTTCATTACTTTAAAAGACAATTAAATAAATTATATATCTATGTACACGAGGATGCTTACACGCGATTCATAAAACCAACTTAGGTTCTAATTGTTCATAACAGTAATTACATACTTTTATATGTTTTGTTAATTAATAAGTATACACTTTCTCTAATTAGTTTAGAAAATCAGCTTTTGTTTAAGACAAGATTAGTCAGTTCTGGTTTGAATAAGACTAAAATAAGATTTTTGAATTTTCGTATCGTAACCTGTCGATCTTTCTTTTTAATACTTGGTTTAAGTATATTAACATACTAGCTTATAGTATATTGATCACTTTTTGGGTGAACAGTCTTATCTATAACTCGAATCTGTGAACAGTATGTCAAATTTATTAATTGTTTATAACAGTTGGGGGTGCAAAAGTGTATATATATAATTATACTATACTGATTATAAAGTAACTGTACTAGTTTTTTTTTTGTTTTTTGTTTTTTGTTTTTTGTTTTTTTTTTTTTTGTCGTCCATTTCATTAAAGTCCAATGGGCAATACAGGAGTACACAGATACAATAATACGGCCCTATTAGCCCGACTGATAATCAAACTTATCGTAACACGATAATCTAAAATTGATTACACGTGGAAGCTAAATAGGGACTCTTCTGATACGTGGCATCTTCTGGACTTTGCAATCGAGATCGCACCGCTTGAGCTACCACCGCCGCTGGCCAGTTTCTCGGCTACGTTCGCCGGTGAAGCTCTACCTTCCACCACTGCTCAACGTTTTGTGTACTGCTGTTTTTTTTTTGCACTAATCGCCTAAGGAAGTTAGGCAGACCTTCCCGTAAACATCGAAGAAGAAGCTCCGAGAATCGTCAACTGGAACGAAAACAGAACATTCGCCGGACCGTAATCTCGCTGCTATAGATACGCCAACTCTGCTTATTCTATTTCAAACCAGCGATTTGATCCCCCAAAACTTGATATTTCCATCACTAAGAGAAACTTCACAATCATAACTCCGAGATTTACATTGGATTTGTGAAGAAATTACTCTCCCTTGATAGAAAAATCAAGCATATATCAATGAAAACGAGATCCAAACTAACCCCTCTGGAATTTGCAACTCCGACAAACGGAGAAGTGAAGGACATGCAAAAGAAAATTTAAGAAACTAAATCCGTTAAACGGAAAACTAAAGCAGCCAAAAGATTCGGTCTAAGCCGAAATTATTTATTGACAACCGTTTAGATCGGAGAAGAAATCCGAATGAAATCGGAATACAAAAGGTAGAATTCCCTCTCTCTGAAAGATGTTAGAGAGAGAAGAGAGAGAGCCTTTCCCTCTAACTGTACTAGTTAAGATTTAACTATAGTCAACTAAATTGAGGTTAGCTGATATTACATACTAATATTATGTAATGATAAATTGATAATTACGACTTATGAGTCTCTTTACATCAACTTAGGTTTTGAGTTAGAGAGGTGATCATTACAGTCAAACTGTACCGATCGAAGCTAATTAAGTCATCATTAAGCTAATAATAACATTTATGGTAGCTAGTTAATTCGGACTGTCCAATATTTTCGTACAATGATGATTAGTTTATTTTGTTGTTAAGAACAAATATTGTATAGGATTTAAATTTAGATAATGACTGGATGATACCACTAATACAAACTTGTATATTTTTGTCACAACCAATTCAAATAACAAACTTTCTACTATTCTATAATACAAAAATAAAAATAAACAGTTATATTATACTTCTCGTATGAGCTTAATTACAGCACTATAATGATTATTCTAACCGCAGTAACGTCATTAGTTCAATTGCTTTTAGCCATTTAATATTCTTAATTAAAGGAGACATGACCTGAGACATCAAGAGATTTGTAGTCTTTTCACCCACAAATTATTAAACTTAAGCATCAAAATTATTATTTATAGAAAACGACCACTAATCAACATTCAATTATTATTAATTATTTATTTTTCATTATTCTGATGCCTAGCTTACTTTACACATCCAACAAACAAAAAAAACTAATTTTTCCTATTCCCCAACCTTAAATTATGCGTATAGTTAGAAAACAAAAGGATGAGGTTAGATATGTTTTAATATATGTTTGTCCCCTATGTTTGCATATGACCATTTCGGTCCATTTGTAAATGTCTTCCTAAGATATTCCAGTCAGGCAGTCACACAGAGAAAAATAGAGCATCATATGTTTCTGTTTCTTTTAGCAAAGCCAAGGGAAGTAAAAAACAAAGAGGAATTACGAATTTACGATTGGTTGCTATCTATAGAAAAGGAGAAATTTCAAAACTACACCTCTTAGGGTGCTAATTTTTAAAAATACACTTCTATAGTGTCTATTTTCAAAACTACACTTTTCTCATTGATTAAAAGAACTCTAAATCTTAAAATATAAATCCAAAATCTTAAAATCTAACATTGAACCTTTAAATCTAAACCCCAAAAAACTCCAAAATCTAAATCCTAATATAGGATTAGTGAATCCAAACATATATATTAAAATTGGGAAAATGTGTATTTTTGAAAATTTCCACACTATAGGTGTAGTTTTGAAAATTTGCACATGATGAGGTGTATTTCATAAAAATTTTCAACCGAAAATAACAATAGATATGAAGATCCTTTAACAAAAAAAGAAAATAACAATAGATCAATTTCTCACTTTAGGCAAAAAAAAAAACCATTTTGCAGTTTTTTGTTTTGTTTTTTTCAATAGAATCAACTAAACAAACGTTAATTATCTTAATACTTTAACATGATATTATTTTGGTATAGTTCGTCTAAGAAAATATTAAATAAAATATTTATAAATATATTACCAATAAATTCATGATATATATCATCGCAAATTTTGGGTACAATTTTATCATTTTCTTATAGCAGTTTAATATATTCTTAATTCTTTAATTATTTCTTCTTTTCTTTTTATGATTAGGAAGTTATATACTAAAGTTTTATCATTAAAAAAAGTTATATACTAAAGTTCGTACATCCCTTTCAAATCAGAATCAAAGTTTTCATTTTTCAATATAGTCATGTCCCAAATGCCATTGGATCTTGTGATTTCTAAACTTTGTCCTTGATGTTTTTTTCCAAATGCAATCTACCAAAGTATCTCAAAAACAATTAGCATGAATTTTGTTACACCAAAATTATATGTATGTGTTTTTTTTTATTGTAGTTGGTACTCATTTGTCATTTGGACAACTAATTGCTTGAATTACTTGATTGGTCACAGAAATAGAAGACTGCTCTGCCTTAAGAAAGCAGAGGAGAATCTTCCAAAAACATTAAAATTTGAAACTAAAAATTATAGAAAACAAATAAAAGCCAAGTGCAAAATAAATAAAAGTGTTTTCCCTTCTTTTTAATAAGAAAATATACTTTTTAAAGAACAGTGAAGAAGTAGCAGAGCAAAGAGAAAGATGGAGAAAAGAATCTTTTAGGCTCTCTCTCTCTTTTTCTCAGACTCACACTCACACTCACCACCATTACTTCAAAAAGGTGAGATTTTTGTTTTCTTTTTTTTTTTTTGTTTTTCCTCTGACCATCTTCTTTGCATCAAACATGTTTCTCGTTCTACTTCTTCTGTAACTGAAAAATCTGATGAACTTTTAGTAAACCCAAAGTTTTGTTTTTTTTTCTTCTTTCCTCGAGCTTTGTGTTCTGATCTTTGCTTGTATCAGTGTAAGCTCTAGCTTTGTTAATTTTTTTTTGTTTCTTTCTGATTACAGTTCATGATTTCTGCCTACTTGGAAATTTATGGCGCATTTTGTTTTTTTTCCCTGCGGAATTTTTCCTATTTTTTTGTGCATTTAAGCTGTTCGAAGTTTTGTGACTGCAGATTTAACCTCCACTGTTGTTTCCATTTTCTTCACTCTGCATCGTTTATATCAAATAACTTTATTTTTGGGTTTAAGTCTGAGATCTGCTGATGCTAAAAATCAAATCTTTGATCCTAGTGTTCTATATTCTGTATTCTGTTCCTGAGATTTGGTTTTCTATTAATGATATTTGATCAAAAGTTTTGGTCTTTCATGTGTTCTTGTCATCATCAGATAATCTAATGATCAAATATTTGATTTTTGATGTGTTCTTGTGTTAATCAGAAGAATTAACAAACAAAGTTTTGATTTTTGATGTGTTCTTGTGTTACAATAAGATATACTAATGACACAAAGATCAATTTTTTTGTGTTGCAGATATTGCTATTGCAACTCATTCACTTACCTGTAGAGACTTTAACATGGTATCAAGATCTTACTCCAACCTCTTGGATCTTGCTTCCGGCAACTTCCATTCCTTTTCCAGAGAAAAGAAGAGATTCCCAAGAGTAGCAACCGTCACAGGTGTCTTATCAGAGCTAGAAGATGACAACAACAGCAACAGCGTCTGCTCCGACGCTCCTTCCTCCATCACGCAGGACCGAATCATCATCGTTGCAAACCAGCTTCCTCTCAAATCCCATCGCAACTCCTCCGGCAAACTCAGCTTTACCTGGGACAACGACTCCCTCCTCTTGCAGCTCAAAGACGGTATGCGAGAAGACATGGAAGTCGTCTACATTGGTTGCCTCCAAGAACAGATCGAACCACTCGATCAAGAAGATGTCTCTCTAAGACTTCTTGAGAATTTCAAATGCGTTCCTGCTTACATCCCACCTGAGCTGTTCACAAAGTACTACCATGGCTTCTGCAAGCAGCATCTATGGCCTTTGTTTCACTACATGCTTCCCTTAACACCTGATCTTGGAGGTAGATTCGACCGTTCTTTATGGCAAGCTTACCTCTCCGTTAACAAGATCTTTGCTGATAAAGTCATGGAAGTGATTAGTCCTGATGATGATTTCGTTTGGGTTCATGATTACCACTTGATGGTTCTGCCTACTTTCTTGAGGAAGAGGTTCAACAGAGTAAAGCTTGGCTTCTTCCTTCACAGCCCCTTCCCTTCTTCCGAGATTTACCGAACTCTTCCGGTTCGAAACGAGCTCTTACGAGCACTCCTGAACGCAGACTTGATTGGGTTTCATACTTTTGACTATGCAAGACACTTCCTCTCTTGCTGCAGCAGGATGCTTGGTTTGTCTTATCAGTCCAAAAGAGGAACCATAGGGCTTGAGTACTATGGTCGAACGGTTAGTATCAAGATCCTTCCTGTAGGGATTCATATAAGCCAGCTTCAGTCAATCTTGAACCTCCCTGAGACTCAGACCAAAGTTGCTGAGCTGAGAGATCAGTTCTTGGATCAGAAGGTTCTTCTTGGTGTTGATGACATGGACATCTTCAAAGGAATCAGCCTCAAGCTCTTGGCAATGGAGCAGCTTCTCCAGCAACATCCGGAGAAGAGAGGGAGAGTTGTGCTTGTGCAGATTGCAAACCCTGCAAGAGGCCGTGGCAAAGACGTTCAGGAGGTTCAGTGTGAAACCGAAGCCACGGTTAAACGGATCAACGAGATGTTTGGACGGCCAGGTTATAGCCCTGTGGTTCTGATTGATAAACCGCTTCAGTTCTTTGAGAGGATCGCTTACTATGTGATTGCAGAGTGTTGTCTTGTCACAGCTGTGAGAGATGGTATGAATCTTATACCTTATGAGTACATAATCTGCAGACAAGGCAATGCGAAGCTCAACGAGACTATAGGCCTTGACCCTTTAGCTGCCAAGAAGAGTATGCTTGTTGTCTCTGAGTTTATAGGATGCTCTCCTTCTTTAAGCGGTGCCATTAGAGTGAATCCTTGGAACATTGATGCAGTGACTGAGGCAATGGACTATGCGTTGATAGCTTCAGAGGCAGAGAAGCAGATGCGTCACGAGAAGCATCACAAGTATGTGAGCACGCATGATGTTGCGTATTGGGCTCGCAGCTTTATTCAAGATCTTGAGAGAGCTTGTGGGGATCATGTGAGGAAGAGGTGTTGGGGGATAGGTTTCGGGTTAGGGTTTAGAGTCGTGGCGCTTGATCCGAGTTTTAAAAAGCTTTCGACTGAGCACATTGTCTCGGCTTATAAGAGGACCAAGAACCGAGCCATTCTTTTGGATTATGATGGCACAATGGTGCAGCCAGGGTCCATTAGGACGACACCAAGCCAAGAAACAATCAAAACCTTGAACAGTCTCTCTAGTGATCCCAAGAATATTGTGTTTCTCGTCAGCGGGAAAGACAGAAAGACGTTAACAGAATGGTTCTCTTCTTGTGATGATCTTGGTTTGGCTGCAGAGCATGGATACTTTATAAGGTAACACTTAAATCTTAAGAACACTTGAAAAGATTAAAACTTTAGGGTATAAAGTAAAGATCACTTATAAATATCAAATCTTTGTGATATAAAGTTAGGATTTTTCATATTGGGGTTGCTTTCATATCTTCTTGAATCACTAAGCACTTGAAAAATTCGAGCTTTTGGATGATAAAGCTAAGATTTTTGCACATGGGTTCTGCTTTTTTATATCTTCTTGAATCTCATTATTTCAAAAGAATAGATATTTTGGATATAAAGTTGTGACTTTTGTTTAATAATGGGGACAGGCCAAACGATGGAACAGAGTGGGAGACATCAAGTTTAGCATCAGGTTTTGAGTGGAAACAAATAGCAGAGCCAGTGATGAGACTCTACACTGAGACAACAGATGGATCAACTATAGAGACTAAAGAGACGGCTCTCGTTTGGAACTACCAATTCGCAGATCCTGATTTTGGATCTTGTCAAGCCAAAGAGCTTATGGAACACCTCGAAAGCGTGCTCGCGAATGATCCAGTCTCTGTCAAGACAGGACAACAGCTAGTTGAAGTTAAACCACAGGTCAGTTTAAAAAACAAAAACTTCAAATGTTTAAAATCTCTCAAGAGTTCTGATATTGGAGAAACTTTGTTTTTTCCACAGGGTGTGAACAAAGGTCTTGTGGCGGAGAGGCTTCTAACGACAATGCAAGAGAAAGGGAAGCTTTTGGATTTCATTCTCTGCGTCGGTGATGATCGGTCCGACGAGGATATGTTTGAAGTGATTATAGGTGCAAAAGATGGTCCTGCTTTGTCTCCGGTGGCTGAGATATTCGCTTGCACGGTTGGACAAAAGCCAAGCAAAGCTAAATACTATTTAGACGACACGGCGGAGATCATCAGAATGCTTGACGGTCTAGCCGCAACTACCTCCGATCAAACCGCTTCTTCAACCGCTCTTTTTTAAGGATTTGTCAGTGTTGTTCTTTGTGTTGGTTTTGTTTTGTTTCTTTTTTAATATGGACTAAGGTAAAGCAAATCATCTTGCGTCATGTCATGTCATACTCAATACATATTATATAAATAGAAATCCACTTATAGAACAAGTAAAAGCAAGAGAAAGGTAGCCAAAGTAGTATTAAATACGCCCATTTTGATTCGGTTTGAAGAACAAGCGGCATCTTGATCTTGATTCTGATGTCATGCGTGGCCGAGGGAAAGCAATGTCTGACGTTAGGGCAAGTGGAGCCAGATTCTCCAAGAAAGGAGAGATAACACAAGTGTCTGAAGAGAGAAACCGAATCTTATCAGTCTCCGGATAATACTTGAAAAGCCTCTTGTGGTTGTCGTGGAAGACAAGATTCCCTTGCTTAGAAACCGCAACCGGCGTGAACAACCGTCTCAGAATGTCCCAGGGAACACCTTTTCCGGCTAAACTTATGGAGTAACTCTTGCTCCATCTTCTTTCTTCTTCTTTATCCATCCTCCATATCTCTAGCTTCCATTGTGGGTTTGTATAGGTAATGGTTATAGCGAGGTGGTTCTCTAGGTTCGATATTTGTGTTTCTTGAGTGGTATGCTCAACAGGAACCATCGTGACGTTATGAAACTCTTCTTTGTGAAGATCTAAAGGTAGTATCTTGTAACCATCACCAACGTTGTTTAGCCAGTAGATGGATCCATTCACACACACCGATCTACTTCCCGCAGCGATCTTGTAAGGAGATGGAGACAACATCCACCAGACACCAGTTTCAACATCAAGAACACTACACTCCACCACAGGATCACGATGACGTACCCTAATTTCCTCCATCTTCACAACTTTATAGCTCCCCGTAACTTTGTCTCTACCAAACCCTAGAGAGAAAGAAGACGACCATTGTGCGGTTCCGTAACTGAACCGCCCGAGTTGCCTTGTCCATGGGTTCAAAACGTTGATCCCGTATTGTTCGGGGATGCAGACCAAACCGTCGCAAGTCATCAAGGGTCGTGTTGCGTCGCAGTGAATATAGACTATCTCTTCGTCTCCTTTGAGCTGCGACCCGTGGAGGAGCCTTGGCTTTTCGCGGCAGTCGCAGTTGTGAACAGCTATGATTTTCCGGCTCTTTTGAAGACTCATACGTAGATCCACGAACTTTTTGGATTCCAGGATTGATCTCCATCGTTTTGAGACTGTTTTGGATATGAGGATGGATTTCAAGGGCAGTCGAACGAATATTTCTTCAAGTAAATCATCAACTAGTGTGTTGATCGAATTAGGGTTTTCCACATCTTCCCCCATTTTCGGTGCTTGTTTTTTTACTTCTCATAATCAAACAATTTAGTATTTTGTATTTTTTTAAGGAGATATTGGGAGATTTGACAACACATTTCCATATTTAATTTAAGAAAGAAAGTTATATTTGAATATATATAATTTTATTCTTACTTATTTGTAGGTCACTTGTTCACCAAGTTATAGCTTTCTATCTTATTATATAAAGCTTGATGCGCGCGACCTGGTTGCGACATGTAAGATTTTTATAATTTACACGCGACACATGTATTTTTTTATTTATTAACGTATCAAGATTGTGACACGTGTCTTGAAAGAAAGAAAAAAAGATAATTTTCATGAAACAGAAAGAAAAATTTATTCATTATACGGCTTAATTCCTTATGAAAATAGGATACTAAGTTTTGACAAAAAAGAAAAAGAAAAAGTTTTACGGTTTATCTAGAAAAACATTTTATTCATTATGGAAAAAAACTATATAAGAAAAAAAGATAAAATTTGCGAGAAAAAAAAAAGAAAAAAAAAACTAATTCATTATGACATAGGCCTGGGCATTCGGTTATTCGGGTCGGGTTCGGGTCGGTTCCTTTCGGTTTTCGGGTTTTTCGGTTCTAGAAATTTTAGTACTATTCGGGTATTTTTTATTTTCGGGTCGGGTTCGGGTCGGTTCCAGATCGATTCCGGGTATCCAAATTTTATTACAGAAAATAAAATAAAAATAAAAAAACTGTTTCATTTAAATGAAATTTTATTGAACTTAGCCAAAACTATTGAATATTAACAAATATAACTAAATATTTTTGGATTTATTGAATATTTTAGTTATTTCTTTCTAAATTTAACTATTATATTAGGTTTATAATTGTAATTTTACATATTTTGGTTATTCTAAGTCTAAATATAATTTGAGAATATAATTATATTTTCAATATTTCGGGTACTCATTCGGTTTTCGGTTCGGTTCGGGTTCGGGTCCGGTTCTTTCGGGTATAGAAATTTTGGACCCATTCGGGTATTTGTGTCGGTTCCGGTTCGGTTCGGTTCCGTCTATTTCGGGTCGGGTTCGGTTTTATATTTCGGGTCTGGATAAAAATGCCCAGGCCTAGACAAAAGGGTAACAAATATTTCTTTCATAATGGAAAAAGGATAAAAAGCTTAATTCCTTAAAAATATAGAAAAATAAGTTTGTGTTATAGTAAGAAGAGAGAACAAGAGAAGAGAGGAATTGGTTGTGTATTATTCCATTAGTAATGAGCTCCTTATATAGGATTACAATATAGGGTTTTCCTTGGAGAGGAATACATTGGAGAACAAGCTAGAACATTCTAGAATATGGGCCGATAATGGGCTTCCATATAAACTAGTTATAACACTCCCCCTTGGAAGTCCATTATCTAAAAATATCTTCTAAGTGCGCATGATGCTGCCTCGTTAAAACCTTACCAGGAAAACCCAAAGGGAAAAACCTTAGTTAAGGAAAAAGAGTACAGCGCGCAACTACTCCCCCTCATGAGAACATCCGTGTAGATTAGGTGAATGAACTTCTTGATAATAGCAGATGGAAACTCCTTTAAAATCTTCACTTGAACAGTCTTTAGAACATTGACATCGCCATTCTTCTTGGTTGCATTCAAGATGATTCATCTTGATCAATCTCCTTGCTTCACTTGATCTCATAAATAGATGACAAGACTTCTTTAGATGTTTCTCATTTGTGTGTTCTTTGTTGCCTCATTAAAACCTTTCATGGAAAAACCCAATGGGATAAAAACCATGATAAGGAAAAAGAGTACAACCACACATATCATCATATTCTCCCCCTTGGAAGCATCTTCTTCAGGAGATGCATTCCAATACTATCTTTTGGAGATTACTATAAGTATAACTTTGATGAAAGTCATTTAGACTTTTAGTCTAGACATCTTTTTCTATAAACAATCATTTGGACTTCTGGCCAAATTTTCTCTTTTATATACATTCTTGTAAACATCTATCTTGTATATATATCTCATCTCATTTTGCTCATTTTCAATTATGAAAGAGACTAACATATTTTTCAAATAGCATTTGAAGTATGGTACTTCAGGACCAAATATATGTGAGCATTGTTTATGTAAATCATGCCATAACATTTCTGGGAATTTGGGATATCTTAAGACAACTTTGTCTTTCCAAGATCTTTTATCCCATCTCCTTTTGTGATACTAATTTCGAAAATTCTTCTGGAATTTCGATGATGTTTAGACTAAGATCTCTTTTGATCTATAAATATACATGGGTATTTGTTAGCTTTATATATTCACGTGATTATATCCATGAATAAATTTCTTTTCATTTGATTGAATAGCTAATATTTTCCGGGAACAAAACATGATATCATTAATTCTTCAATGATTATATCCTTCAGGGACTTTTACATAAATGTCATTGTTTAGTGAGTTGTATAAGTCAAGTTCTTCTTTCATTGCCAGACTTAATGAACTTGAAAGTTGCATCCACCACATGAGAGTATATCTCTTCATACTCATTCTTCTTCGGCACAAATGCCTTTATAACTCACTTGTTTCACACTTTTTAGGTGAAAGGACTTCTGGTCCAAATACTTTCTCTTTCTAAGAGATTTTGTTTTGTGTCTATTGCTTCTTTTCGATTTGGCCAAATCATTACTTTGTGTACACAATGCAATAGACTTTGTTTCATGATCCTCTTTCTCATTCATAATATCAACTGCTACATTGCATGCAAATATATTATTTACGACGTCGATTTGCTTCTGGTTCCATTTATTCTATACATGACATAAGTAATTTCTCGAGATCTCATCATTGTCTCAGGTACCTGAATTTCTTATTTGTCATGTTTAATGTCTCTTCTGGAGATCACTCAAAAATATTTGTTTCCTCGGTTTGACCATTGTCAATTTATGCTCTTTTACTTTTTCGAGGATTCTAATATTTGGAACCGACAAGTCTATCACGCTTCATGCGTTCTTTAGACTCACTAGCAGCTTGATATTGTCCTTCTGGGACATCAATTCTTATTAGAGCATTTACAGCTGGTAAGTGACTCAATCACTATATTTGGGTCAGTAAATGTATCTGGCAACTGATACAATAAGTTTTGTGAATGAATTATCTTTTGGACTTCTATTTCACATTCTATAGTCCGAGGATCAATGATAATTCATTCAACTACTTTTCTTTCCAGCCTTTTATTTTCTCCCCCTGATGTTGGAAAGACTTATCCATTAACATGGTAGTCTATAAATCGAGCCTTACTTAAATCCTTCAGGGATAGCTCTAGATATTATCAATGGAGATTCATATCCAACATCTACAATCTCTTTTGAAGATCCATCTTATATTGCTGTGGTGGAGCAATGTGGATGTTGCACATCCAAAGGTTTCTGACCCAAACCAATTTCGATGGAGAGAAATTTTAATTACTCTATTATACTAATTATATGTAGTACAATTTAATCGTGAACACATGTAGTTTTTTTAATATACTTTTAGATTATTGGGAAATACTTGTAGTTGAATGTTATTTAACATCACCTTCACATATTGTCTCAATATATGATAACTTTTCAAATCTCATGGATTTTCTCTATGTATGAATCATAAATCTCAGTTTTACTGTGAAGTTAATCTTCTGGATTCTTCACTTTATATGTATGTGGGATTCCCTAATTCTCCCCCTAGAGATGATGACACTTCAGGTTCATCAATCTCGAACTGAATCCCATTATATAACCAACTTGGGTCATTAATCTTTGATACTTAGGAGAATTTTAATACATCCATGATTGTTCCCGTGACAATATTATATTTGCTCTTCTGGAGATTTTATTCTTTATACTATATGGTATTGTACTCATATTAGATTATTTCTTCTGAGAGAAATATCTTTCGTTTGTTACTATCTATATTTTCTCACTTCTGGTGATAATTTGATTTCTTGAAAAGAATTCTTAGGCATGACTAGATCCACACAAAATCCACCCACAACCACATCTATACAACTTATTAATGTGGATTTTTTTACATTCACTTCAGGGAATGGAGTGGAACCATTTGAAATAAATCAATAAATTTCTTATTAATAGTTCATTATTTTGTTCAGCCACAATGAAAAGATAAATTCATAATGTGTCTCCAGAACAACATTACTTGGCTAGAGCATGTCTTATAGCATTTCTGAATATTCTTGAGTTAATACTCATTTACAGACTTCAAGTCATGTAATCTTAAATGCAATATTTTATTGAGCTTTTGGTGATCATTCTTTTTATTTAGATTTTCTCTAAATAACTTGTGGATCATGTACAGTCAAGTAGTAAATCTTAAAATCATAGATAACACAAATATATGATCAAGCTATTTATAAAAGAGATAGTGTTCACATAAAATGACTTAATCAATCATTCATTAGTTTCTTACTCTTATGTCATTAAATTAGGTTCTCAATTCATCATTCAATTAATTGATTCACCAAAAGAAGTCAGTATATTATCAACACAGGGCAAACGTAATCTAACTCTATTTAGAATGAATTAAACATATCAAGCAAGTCACGATGTCACATTGTTACTTCTAAATATACATATTTGGTGATGGTTTCAAATTCTAAGAACAGAATCAGTATGCTCAACTTTCAGTTATAAAAGTCATGATCATGAACTCAAACCATCAAATTTCGAAAGCAATAAATATCCAATTAATGTTTCTTTTATGCTATCAAAATATGATGAATTATAATAAACTATCAAGTTCTTTTAATAGTGGTGACAAAATCAAACCAACTAATCAAACACGGAGATTAGTCTATCCGGCCTATTTGAATATCCGGAGAGAGGGTCTATCCGTGGGCTGCACCTCCCTTAGGGGATTAGTCTGGCCTGTCCATAGGCCTAGGATTTACCCCTGAGTTATCAAAAAAAAAAAAAAAAAAAAAAACTAATCAAACACATCATTACATGTAGGCATGATCAATATTAAGCATTT